GTGATGCCTTCTGATATGATTTAGCATGTTTGGCGTGTGTTACCATTAGCATACCGCACCACTGTAGAACGGCGACACACCGTCCTCGTCCGATCCACCACTCGTACACTCCATCGTTATTGTAGTCCACAAGGAACCCGAAATGTTCCCACACAGCTGATTTAAAAGAAGCAGGTGGGTTCTAGCTCCTGTGTGTTATCTGAAATCGCCATACTAACTTTTCTTCTTCTTGTATTTTGTTCGTTTTGTTGTTGTGTTTCTTCTGTTCTTCATTTGTTGTTTAAGGGCGGCTGGCAAACAGCTTTTAGGCGCAATACCGCCCCCTGGATTATATATAGTGTAGTGGATACTGCCCTGAATGACACTTTTTTCCCACTCATAAAAAAGGCGTATTCGTCGTGTGACTGCGTGTGCCGAACCGTGACGTCCGAACCGTGACGGTACGGGACGAATACGGATACCGTTACACCCCTAATAACTTACATTTAATACTTCCTCCAGAGGCATTGTGGGTGAGCAATGAAATATTAAAAACACTGAGATAAAGCCTTCTAAAGAGAAAACCAGAATGATGAGGAGATGCATACAGTTCATCTTTTCTTAGTGCAGAGTAAGTCATTTTACTCTGTTATTATTCTGTGTTACCCACAACACAAGATGACATGGTTTATTCACACACTGAGCACAGCAATGGTAGTTTAAAACATTCCCAATGCTAGAGGTAGAACATTCAGATAAAGAGGAGAGAGGAAGAGCGGAAAATAAAATAAAAAGAGCAAAAAACAAGAAAAGGAAGCATAGTGTGGAAAAAGATTAAGTGAAATCTAAGTTTGTGTGAGGAAAGAGTTATAGGAGGGGAGATATGGCAACATTGACATTGGAGTTTAACGTGTGTGTGTGTGTGTGTGTGTGTGTGTGTGTGTGTGTGTGTGTGTGTGTGTGTGTGTGTGTGTGTGTGTGTGTGTGTGTGTGTGTGTGTGTGTGTGTGTGTGTGTGTGTGTGTGTGTGTGTGTGTGTGTGTGTGTGTGTGTGTGTGTGTGTGTGTGTGTGTGTGTGTGTGTGTGTGTGTGTGTGTGTGTGTGTGTGTGTGTGTGTGTGTGTGTGTGTGTGTGTGTGTGTGTGTGTGTGTGTGTGTGTGTGTGTGTGTGTGTGTGTGTGTGGATGACAACAATAAATCTGACCCCATCGGTTGAGTGTTTCAGCTAGATGCAATCTGTGAGAGAAAGATAGGAGAGAGAGAGAGAGATAAACGTTCCACCACTGGTTTACTGATAAGGAGCTTCACATGCAGAGATCAGAGGCTGCCGACCTCACTCTCTCACACACACACACACACACACACACACACACACACACACACACACACACACACACTTACAACCTCTCACTAACTCCCTCACTCACTCTGAAATGCGTACACTCACATTTTTCTCATTAGCTGAATGTCTTAACTAAACGGGTGTAATTGGTAGTTTAGCTGAATAAGTGACATTTTGTAATTAGGATGTAGAATGCTCAGATATCCATGTGTGTTTGACTCATTGTGTGTGTGTGTGTGTGTGTGTGTGTGTGTGTGTGTGTGTGTGTGTGTGTGTGTGTGTGTGTGTGTGTGTGTGTGTGTGTGTGTGTGTGTGTGTGTGTGTGTGTGTGTGTGTGTGTGTGTGTGTGTGTGTGTGTGTGTGTGTGTGTGTGTGTGTGTGTGTGTGTGTGGTGTGTGTGTGTGTGTGTGTGTGTGTGTGTGTGTGTGTGTGTGTGTGTGTGTGTGTGTGTGTGTGTGTGTGTGTGTGTGTGTGTGTGTGTGTGTGTGTGTGTGTGTTAGCCCACATTGATTAGTGCAGTGTGCCTCTCTCAGTGCTCAGTGTTGCTTGGCAGAGTTTTAAAGCCAGCTAACTCTGCATCAGATTCATCCTGACACACACTTCTGAAATGCCTCTCTCTTGTTTTTTCCCTTGTGAGTCACGATCTGACAGCTCTTTTCTCCCTCAATGTATTGAGGCGGCAGTACGCAGTAATCTTGCTTAACATACAACCCTCAGCAGCACCAAATTCACGCTGACCGGTTGTTACCTCTCTTTAAATAAACAAGCAGTGAGAAGGAGACTGTTGGTGCACTTTGCTGACCTTCACTCTGACCTTCCTCTGCAAAGGAGGCATGAAGTAAAACGCCCTAAAGGGATCAGCAACGCATCACTTGAATGTCAAAATATCTATTCCCACTTCTTTATCCCTTACCTCTCTAATCTTCACACCATTACTCCCACTTATCCTTGAACTTCTCTCCTCTGTGATCACAGTGGTCAGAGTATTTGTCCTGCCACTGTGGCTTTGATTTTTCGCCAAATTTGTATCATCAGTCACCTCTTAGGCCACCGATTTAGCAACTGAAATGTATCCAGATGCACTCACTGAGAAGATAACAAGAACATACTCAAATCTGCCCTGGAAAAAACCTCCAGTTCCGAAAAACTGAAATATAAAACAAAGGATAACAGTCAAATGATTACAGAAACGGTCTGTTTTAAACATCCATTTCAGTTTACAGACTAACTTAAATGTTACAACTTTGACTTACCACACTTGCAATACCTGTGTGTGCAGTTCTCAGGGGTTATAATGTTTTTCCTAAAACGATGAGTCAGGAGGACATAAGATGACAGAGCAACTAATTGCACCTTATTCATGCGGTTGTTTGCACTCATTGTAAACAATAAACTGTCTACGGTGTGTGTTAGTGTGTGTGCTTGCTGTTAAATGGCTGCTAGAGTATCTCCCTGGTGTTGTCTCTTCTCAGGTTACACCACATCTCTCAAGGGACCCTTTGCTCAAACAGTTCTGTATTATATTTCATCTATTTTACTGTCTCTCTCACTCTCTTCTACACCTCTCCATCCTCTTGATTTGCAAATGTCGGTGTTAGTTTTATTGTCTTTCTCTCCGCTCTTCAATTTTCTGCCTCTTCCCCCCCCCCCCATTTAACTCGTCTGTATTTCTTTTGAATGTTTCCTATGTGTCAGCTCGCGCTCTTTGTTTTACTGTTAGTGCCTCTTCACTCCCTCGCTGTGTGTCCCCTGTTTCTATCACCCTGCCTCTGTTGTGTCTGTGGAGTTTTTATTATCTCCCTCTTGCATTCTCTGGCTCCTTTCCCTCTCCCAGGGAGTCACTTACTCAGTGTGGCTCGCTGATAGTGTTTGTTAATAATGATACTTCAGTGCCTCAAGTGAATAGCCCTTCACACAGAGTCTCTGGAAGTCATTACCCAGCTCTATGCTGTTGGCTGCACTGCAGAAGATCAGATTGGGGAAGTCTGTCAAGTAAATTGGCTTTATTTGTCTCATTGTATAAAAACAATGAACATCTTGCTGAGTTGTTCTAATTATCTAGTTTGTGAAATCAATGTGCTGTGCTGGGTTAAAGTTCAATATTTGATTCAAGTGTGTCATTTTGTTTTGTGTGTGTGTGACGGGGTTCTATTTGTCCGTTCGAAACATTGGCTTAGTCGGTTGTTTTAAGCTCCAAAACTTTATTTTTAACAGAAACTAAAATATAGCGAAACAGCACAACTTAAACAAACAAAATAAAAGTCACCAAATCAGGCCGTCCATCACTCATGGAGAGTACACATGCTCTGGCTGTTGCCTTCACTGCAACATTCTCCCGAGTCACCTCCTCCAGGGCCAACACCGTCCCTTTTGAACCCATAGCCCCTCCCACAACAGGTTACACAATCAACTCAACACCACATTGTCAACATAAAGACCCGCAAACATAAACAGGTTAACTACCTCTTAACACAACCATTCCCCATAATTAACAAACGCAAAATAAATAATAAATTGCATGGTTCATGACATCCTATTTAAAACACGGAAGTGATGCGCCTCCGTCTTTTCCACATCCCCTTTGCTGGGGAGACGGCGGCTGCACGACCAACGGAAGAGAGTAGGAAATGTTTGGTGTGTGTGTGTCGGCTGTCAGAGGCGGAGTCAGTCACTCTGTGATCCGCTCCGTCACAGTGTGGTACAGTTACCATATTATTTCCATATGCCACGTGACTTTTTCAGTGTTCCTCCAGGCAGCAGTAAAGTGTATCCATTTGTCATTCCCTTATGTATAATTCAGATATGGTTGCAACGCTCCGGATTTCTTTCCAAGACTTTCTACTTGTCCCGACCAGATTGAGGGTTAGCATAAGCGTGGTTGTTTTTCCTTTCCTCTTGCCCTCAGCGATTTCTCCAACATGTTTTTCTGAAAGCTTAAGCTGTGCAACATTGTTATCACTCTGTTATTCTTTTGCCTGTTGAAATGAGTCAGCTGTCCTTCTATGAAAGAAGGGCAATCATCTCCAAATCCCCTGATAGACGACATTCGGGCAGCCCAGCTTAGCTCAGCTTAGTTTATCCATCATGTGTGGGTTCGCTTTTGGGGTGACTTTAATTAGCCAATCCAAAAAAGTGGATTTCTTATATCAAGGATCGTAACCAGGGGTACTTCTGCAATTGTAAGGGATTCAACATACTTGAAAGACTATCTAAATTCAAAGAAAACCACAGACTAGAGTCAGATATAACACTTGAAAACCATACGTAAGAGTGATAACTTATATAAAGCTAGCAGACACATTTAAACTAGTCCTAGAAGTAAAAGCAAAAGGGTTGCAATAGCTAAAAACATGATTTAAGGGTTAAATAATTAGATAGAGAGCTAGATGGTTGACATAGTCCACTGAGGGGATTTTAAATGTGAACTTGACCAAAATATCCTTAACATTAACAGATCCATCAGGAAAGATTTATGTTTGTGATTGTTTAAGTGATGACGTCATTTTTCATGATGGTAATAATGGGTGGAGCAAAATGCTACTTATTGTGTTCACTAGAGACATGAGAGAGACTTGGTTTGCAAATATGTGTATCACATGTTTCTTAAAGATCCTGATTTTATAATCTCCCATCCCTCCCTCCTCTTTTTCCTTATTCTCCATCCCTCCTTCCCCCCCGCAGTGTCTCTTCAGGACATCACCATGAGGAAGGCTTTCAGGAGTTCAACCATCCAGGACCAGCAGCTGTTTGACCGCAAGTCGCTGCCCGTCCCACTGCAGGAGTCCTACCAGACCTGTGAGGAGCCGCCCCCCCCTCAACATCCTCTCGTCCTACAGGTCAGAGTGCAACCTGTTTTACTCACTTTAGAAAGGGCTTTTATGGGCATGACGGTTACTAGAAGAGTCACATTTAGGCTTAAAGCTAATGATAATTTGCTTTTTAAAACCAGATTTTTCAAAAGGAAATCATGAACTCCCTACAATGGGGGGAGAAGGAGGAGGTCAGCTGTTCCATTCTTTAAGAAAAACCTGACATCACCTTTAACTGGAAGGTTTAATTGCCGCCCTTTTTTCTGAGCCCAGCATGGCACTAACTACAGTATATCATACATGTGTCGGTTTTCATTCTCTATGTCATTTGTATTTTATCAATAGCTAAAAGAATTACTGAAATGGTTTTGAACATTGGCCGGTATTTGTCCTATTCTTTCTATAATACTTCTCCCAGCCACTATTAAACCTTGTATTACTTGTATTACTCACAATGATGCACAACATATAAGAAAACAGAAGACACCATTATCTTGGTTGCCCTAACCACAAATGGATACACAGTCAGTTTTACTCTGCATGTATTGAAATATCTTCTTTTGCACCTTGGTTGGTGGGGATATTTGTATCTGCTTGTGATTTTTTACACCAGACATCTCTCTTGGCTCTTGAGTGTTGAGCAGAGCGATAGAAAGAGTCTTCTGAAGATGAATAATCCATAAAAACCTCCTCTGGCCAGCACTCTGCCCTTTTTTTCACAGCCCTCTCACCCTGCTGCTTTCTCACTTCTTTTTTCTCTCCCCTCTCACTCCATTCTCTCCTGAAGCATTTTATATGACCTATTACTGTGCACTTGACCGAACCAGTTGGAGAAGGTTACAGGCCGAACACTTGTAATCTATTTGAATCTCTTAACTTTGTGTGTGTCGACACATACATCATTTGCACTGCATTGAGGCAGGTGAAGCCTGTGGTATTTGAATGAGTCGTGGCGGTGTTATTTAATGTGCGAGCCAAGCTAAAGGCATGCGTGACTTTATTTTTCCAATCTTACTTTAAATGTCTTGTTTCGCGCTGGCCGAAGGCTACACGTCTGTTTTATTCAGACAAGGATTAATGGTGATATTTGAACCACACATAATAACATGCACTATTAAAGCCTTGAGGTCAGTTCCCAGGCTGGATGGAACTGCTCTCACCTCTCCTTGAAAAAAAACAATTGATAGAGTGCCCCTGAGCACACTGTCTAGTAGAGTGGATTAAGTTCCTATTATAAAGGACAGTGGCTCTACTGGTGTGCCCATGAGAGGAAGAGTCTATCAATATTAAGGCTGACTCTAACTATTACTTCATTTAACCTGACAATCATTTACTTGATTGATCTGTTAACCATACAATGCCATAAGCCTTGAAAGATCCTCACATTTCAGAAGCAATACTTAGCTATTAGCATTATCTTGTCCCTTGATCAACCATCTTATTTGTTCAGCTATAATTGATATTAAATAGGGTAAAGTTGACAGAAATGCAAGGACAGGAAGCCATCACAGGATAAAAAAAGGTTACAATATTATAGGAGATGTTTACTTCCTGTACCAGGGGAACCACCCTTTGAGTTTTCACCTCGTCTCTCCTTCTCTCCTCTGTACTTGTCTCATCTCCTCCACTTCACTTTGCTCTCCAAATGTAGTTTTGCCTCTCCTATCCTTTCCTCTCCTATCCCCTATATCCTCCTCTCTTCTCGTCTCTATCCTCCTCTCTTCTCCCCTCCTCTCTATCCTCCTCTCTTCTCGTCTCCTCTCTATCCTCCCCTCCTCTCTATGCTCCTCTCTCCTCCACACATCACACCAGGAGTCTCCATGGGACGCCTCCCCAGGCTGTTATTTCTCAGATACCCCTGAACACAGCTGCTTCTATCTCTCCCTCTCCCTCTCCCATACAGTACACACAAGAAAAAACAAACACAAAACCCACGGCTCAAAAACCCACAGAAGGAATAGCATGCATAATGATTTACATAAACACTCTACCCGCAGTGCACACACTCTACGGTAGCTCGCTCTCTCTCTCTCTCTCTCTCTCTCTCTCTCTCTCTCTCTCTCTCTCTCTCTCTCTCTCTCTCTCCACGTTGTTATCCTGTATTGGATTGTATTTTCTTCCCTTTGTTGTGTTGCATTTGATTACACTTTACACTCTTGCCTTTTGAAGCTTTTCCCTCTCATGTTCTGTATCCTGGCTCTGATCGGAGTCATCATCAAATAATTCACTCCCTTAGCGTTGCCGTCGCTGGGTGATTGGACCTTCGCACGGCTGGATACACCCATTATTTCTGCTAAGTGTCAAAGGAGACATGAAGTACCCTTTTATGTGCCCTTTAGTTCTGAACAGATAGAATGACTATGTTGGTTTACAATACAAGTTGAAGTAGAAAATAACACTAAGGTTAGATCAATAATATTGTTGTTTTGGAGGAGAACACCTGGTATTGATGTTAATTAGCCCACATGTAGGGTGCCAGAAATAGCCATTTTCTCTTTGCTGCTCTAAAGGTGTTTCCTCTGGAAGATATTTCCCAGGAGACTAAGAACCTCTTTAGAACTGTACCTGTGCTTTGACCGGAGGACACAGTATATATCAGCTCCTGCATAAATATCTATAATCATATAGTTAGCAAGTACGTTAGGTCTGGGTGCCTAAAAAGTCCTTCCTCGTGGAGGAGTATTCTCTAGTTTTTAAAGAGCTATAGTCATTGATGCAGCTACCAATCATGTAGAGTTGAATTTACAATGCAAGAAACGGACATTTTAGTTTTTTTGTAATTGCTGTTGTTCCCAAGGTTGCCTTCTTTCAAAGGTGTACACCTTATTTCATAGTTTAAATAAATATATTTTAAAAATATAACTTTTGAAAGCTCCAATAAAGAAGTGGAAAGACACCAGCAGGGCCATTTAAGAGGCTTATCCCTGTAATGATGTGTGTGTGTGTGTGTGTGTGTGTGTGTGTGTGTGTGTGTGTGTGTGTGTGTGTGTGTGTGTGTGTGTTGTGTGTGTGTGTGTGTGTGTGTGTGTGTGTGTGTGTGTGTGTGTGTGTGTGTGTGTGTGTGTGTGTGTGTGTGTGTGTGTGTGTGTGTGTGTGTGTGTTGTTGTGTGTGTGTGTGTGTGTGTGTGTGTGTGTGTGTGTGTGTGTGTGTGTGTGTGTGTGTGTGTGTGTGTGTGTGTGTGTGTGTGTGTGTGTGTTGTGTGTGTGTGTGTGTGTGTGTGTGTGTGTGTGTGTGTGTGTGTGTGTGTGTGTGTCAGAAGCCTTTTTCTGTTTCCCTCCCAATCATCATGGCACTGTTCTCCCCAGTGAGTGCCAACCACAAAGGCTTCTGTAATGTGAGTGAAGAAGACAGAGAGTGCGGCACAGTTGAGAGGGAATGAATGATAGAGCAGGACATAAGCTATTATTCATGGAAATGGTAAACAAATATGATCTCTGGAAGGAAAGCAGACTGAGACAGGCAAGGGCAGGACACAGGAGAAGAGAAATTATTATCAAACATTTCCCTCACTTTCAATTTTTCAGGAACGTCAACCGCTGTAGTGCCTGCCGCCTGCAATATTAGAGGAAAGAGAGCTTTTAGTAGAGCTGAAACAGCAACGACAATGATCATCAATTATTCTTTCTGCCAATTTTCAAGCGTAGTAATTTGCTGCTTTAATTAGCCTTTTGGGCTATTTGGGGATGTTGTACTGTTTGTCCAACAACACAAGACATCCGAACTTCCCATTTGAACTCTGGGAAATTGTGAGGGCCATTTCCCACAATTTCTTTAGTGAATTATTTACTTATTAGTCAAGCAAAGCAATTGACTAAATACATCAACAATGACATTATTGATAAGTTGCAGCCCTGCAAAGCTTTATTGCTTTATCAAATGCAAAAGTCTTGTAGATTTCTTTAGTGGAAAATAAACAAAACTGAATAAAAAATGTTTATGATATCCTGCGGCTAACAATAATTCCATTATCAATTGATGTGCCGATCATTCTTCTTGATGAGATATCGGTTTCTTTTGTCCATCTGCAGGGACGATGGGAAGGAGGGTCTGAAGTTTTACACCAATCCGTCCTACTTCTTTGACCTGTGGAGAGAGAAGATGCTGCAGGACACAGAGGACAAGAGGAAGGAGAAGCGGAAACAGAAGGTACGTCTGAACGATCACAGGGACCTGGAAGAACACAGCACTTTGTACTTTCTCTTCATGAAACAGTTGAGGACTGTGCTGGTTCTTTAGTGGCTGCAACAGATCGAGGTGTCTGTGATGAGAAGCAGGCTGAAGGTTAGCGAGTAGGAAGACATGAAGTGAGAGCAAACGAGAGGCTCCTAAGATACGATGTGTCCTGCTTGAATAAACTGATAGCGTGATTCACTGATAGGCCTGGCTTCAGACCATGTAGTCTCATGCGTTAATTAGCCACCGCTCATAGATTAATCCGTTTTTCCTCCAGTCAGCCCTCTTAGTTATCAGTTTTTAGTTAGTTATTACTTGTGTCATCATTACATCTAATTAACGGGAGCATCTGCCGTTCACTTCCCCCTGCACTGTGCCATCTCTCTACCACACACACACACACACACAAAACCTTATGTAGAACCTCTGTACACACACATTTCATCTAGCGGTAGGTTTTTTTTATGCACACAGACACACACAAATACAAATAAAAAGAGCTCTTGCGCATCTATAAGGAGCCCCTCTCCCACATGAAATGCAAAGCTGTGACCCCACTTCTCAGAACTCAGGGGTTTCCCACCCCCGGCATCAGGAGCTCTAATCAGCACCAGCTTGCATTTCCTCGCGTGGGAAGCAGGGCGTGCTACACATTTTGCCCCCTCACAGTCAATCAAAGCTTATTACAGCCGTTCCAATGAAGAATAAGGAGAGTGGTTTTCCTGAATGAAGAAGATATCATTTGGTTATGAGGTTTTTAATGATTGTGGAGATGAGCGGAGAGAGGACACAGGGCGAATTTATCCAATAATTAGTTGGGAGTGTGTAAAATGAAGCATATTTACTTTCAGTTGTTTTCCTGGTGTTGCATCATCACAATATTGACAGGTTAATAAACAAACACAGAGCTGTAAAATGCAATTGCAAAGCAGCAAGACCTTATTTTCTTCACAGGGTTAGGTCGATATGACCGCTTGTAGCCGAAGCTAATTCTGATGATTTCATTCTAATTAAAGCCCCGGGTTGCCTCAGCTTGTAAAGCTGTGTTCATGTCCCTCTTCACCACACTGGCAGATAGACAGACCCCATGGAAAGGCCTAGAGGACATTCACAGGGGGAGCAGGATGGGTTAGAGGAACTACGAACACATATTTGTAAGTTTGTGTAACCGTCCTGGTGGATAAATGGTCTGAAGAGGATCAGGGCAGATACAGTGTGGAGAGGACATGTGTGCTCTTATGGAAAAGCATGCAGAATCAGCGATTGAAAGAGTGAGGGATATCAAATAAAAAGTTATGCAGACACACACACACAGATGGAATTGAATGTGTTAATCTTTGATGGATTTTCACTTAGCTCACTGAGTAATTCTGCCACATCACCTCGTGTTCTCTGTCGCGCTGTTCATAAAGTGTGTGTGAGATGTTCAGGTTTATCATGGATATTCTTTGTACAGATAGAGTCAAAATCCTTCTCTGCCACTTATTTCCTATTTTTGTATAAATAGCAATCGTTAACTCAGACACAAACTCAGGAACAGAGGCAGGGATTCACACAGACAAATGTCACGCCGCCTGTCAGGCACTATCTGAGATTGGGTGCCAACACATTTTGTTCCACGTCGCTTTTGCTCTCCTCCTAAATGTCTGTGTTTGTATCTCCCTACAAATCATCCTCTAAAGTTTAAAATCGCCCATCAGATGACCTGCTGTCACATTTACAAAGTAAAAAAAAAAGGAAAGAATCAGACTGTAGACAAGATACAGGTCATCCAGGGTTTCTACTGTTGAAGATAATTAACAAAAGGACAATTCAAATAAAGAGCTGCTGACTTGACATTTTTTAGCAAACAGAGATAGGGAGCTTGTCTTCACTGAAGCAAAAAAGTGTTTGGTTGCATTCCAGCTAGTGGGAGGAATAATTGATTTCTGCTGGCGTGCAGGGGGAAGCAGTTCAGGGGTTCGGGTCAAAGTTTCTTCTTACAGCACAGAGGAAAGACAACAAATCAAATATTATATCCCAGCGTGTCGTACAGCCGATCGAATGACTCTGAGCAAAGGGCATTCAGAAAAGACTGATGTACAGATTTAACAGTCCAAGTGTATCGTTGAATAACACCTCTTTTTAACAGTATTCAAGAGATTATTCAGCTAAAATAGGTTGAGTTCATAAGCTACATTTGCTCAGGTGACATTACTCTAGATTGTATCATACATCACAGAATAAAGATCTTTTCCATGGGGATTATAATTATTTATGCCCTATTTCATCTTACTCAATCACCTTCACACACACTGCGCTGCACACACACACACACACACACACACACACACACACACACACACACACACACACACACACACACACACACACACACCGATTAGCAGGCAGTGATAGATGGAAAGCAGTACAGGGCAGAGAGAAGGGAAAAGAAGCCTACAGTGTGCTAATCTCATTAGCTCCTGTGTTAGCCTCGCTCTCAGTGGATTAGAAGACTTTGTGCTGAGCCAGTCATAAGGAGACAGAGGGAGTGGGAAGAGAGTCCCAGGGATTGAGGAGCCAAGAGAGAAAGAAAGCATTGCAGCTGCTCTTTGATATCAGTGTGTGAGCTTACACTACATCAAAGTTTGTCCCTAGCATTTGAACCCCCTCTGGAGAAGCCCCCTTCGGCTACGCCTGCCTACTCCTGTCTCATTATAGCCATGGGCAGCTGGAAATGCATTTACATTGTAATATAATATAAAGGCAAATCATGTTCTGCCTTTTTTGTTATATTGTCCAGATCCAGAAGTAAGGAGATATTTTCTGGATTTGTTCAAAACATGTGTGCTATCAGTCCTCCACTGCTGCATCTTAAATAAACTGCTTGATTAAATAACGAGCCAGTAAAAAGGGTTTTGCCCACATTGTCGCAGGTTACTGACCCTGATTTCAATTGCAAAAAGTTCAAACCTATCATACATTATCAGGCCAGCTAATAATAGGGAGAGAGGTGGGTGCATCAAAAACAGGATATAGGAAGTCTTTGCACATACGATACATGCTGAAGGGTCTGCACATCTTGGATGCTTTGCTCCAAGGGACATGTATGAAGAAGCATTGATTCCATAAATCTGCTAAATACTACTAAATGTCCATGTGCCAAATGGTTTCTTATTCGCTAAGAAAGTTTCTAGATTTGCACACTTTACGACAGACACTTCTCAGCCAGTGTGCTAATGAGACCTAGTTGTCTCTTTGCAGCTGTTTGCAAGCTAGTTTGTTAGCTTGTCTTTGCAGGTGCAAGAGGAGCTCAGGAACGTGACGTAGAACAGCAATTCTCTAACCTTTGCCTGACAGCGCATTCGCAGTATTGCCCCCACTTTGTACTAGAACACTGACTTACCTTGAAAACATGATAAAACCTCTGTGTGTGCTTTGACCGTTTTTCATTGGATCAGTTTAATGTCCTAAAATTGTGTAGTAAAAATGTTGTAAAATACTGCTTTAGGATCTCTGTCCCCTCTCTGCCTCACGTTCTCTTTTGTGAATCCTGGTCTAACTCTGTCGGACTCTGCAGCTGGAAATGCCTTATCTTGTGTGTCCCAATGGCCTTATAAGAGTCCTCTCTGAAACCCCTCCTCCCTTCCTCACTGCCCCAGAGGTAAGAGTTTTTCCCCCTGTCCTCCAGAGCATCTGCTCCCCAGCTGGCAGCCTGCAGCCCTCCCTCACTCACACCCCCCCACCACTCTCCTCCCTCTATCCACTCTCCCTCTGGTTTGCTGTGGACAAGTGAGCTCCCCACCTCCACCCTAACAACTAACCAGCCTCCAGTATTAACCTGCCTGACTGCATCCCAGTTCTACTGTAGGGATAGAACATTAGGAGTCAATAGTCCTCTGAAAACGAGGAAGGACAAGTCTCGATGTGTTCGATTACAGAATATATTATCGAGATTGTAAATGTAATACCGGCATTATGTTATCTTCACATCATATTTGAGGATGGATTGTATTTCAGTGTCAACAGCAAAATATAAACGTGTACATGCAGTTCCAACCAAAGGGAAAAAGGTTGGCTCACAGAGTAAAACATTTACTTTAGTTTTCTCTTTAATGTCATGATGAAGAAAACCGTCATACATGCAGACAGTTGTGACCAATGAAATAGAAGAGTCGGTAAAAAATAGGGCTTAGCTGCTTATGTATCCATTCAGTCAGTTATTTATGTCTATTCTTAGCCAAACGTAAAATTAAACGGTCGATACTTTTAAGCCAGTGTCAGTTAAATGCTTTTATCTGTTATTTACTACCTATCTGCATTTAGGAAACAAAACTATAACATGAATGAATTTGGGAAACAGACATGGAGTATTATTTCACTAACAGCAAGTCACCTCAGTCATACGCTCCATGATCGAGGAATGAACTGAAATATTTTTGGAATGGGATCCTCTTTAATAAATGGTTTGCCCTGCTGGCGTTGGGTTTTTGTGGTTGAACTAACTCTTCCTGACACACGTTTGAGCAGAGATGTCCTTCACTTTGTTGCAGTTATCAAATCATAATAGCTATAGATAAAATATTGCATTGTTTAAATGTACAAGGATTATTACTGTACAGTGTGTACAACCCACCTCCTATAGATTAGCCGCAGCAGAAATGTGTGTATTGTGTGAGGGGCTTGTGTTATTGTCAGCAGCAGGGTGGTCTGCGGGCCTCCCTGCGGGGGTCATTTACAGTGTTACACAGCCATAATTCTGCTGAGTCTGTCACATTGAACATGCACAAAAACATGCAGAGACACACAGGTGCACACACAGAAAGGCCCATGCGCGTGTGAAGGGATGTGTATGGACAGAACACACATTTATAACTGCTGCATTACACACACAGCAGGGCTAACGCAGGAATTCTCTCCGTTCAGATGTACGATGGCTCACAGCGCTCTGAAATTAGCCACATCTATAATAACTGTGATGAACACGTGCATGCACACACACACTTGCACTGTTTCTCATTTTCTCTCATATAGAAACACAGTGTACCTCCCTCCTTGTTCACTCTGTTTTCACATGTACGTTGCTGCATTACCACCGTCACTCTGTGATGCTTTCTATTGGCCAGATGGTCGTCTGCTGGCATTATGTGTTTCTTCGCCTTTATATCTGCCTGTCATTCACCATAGTAATATCAATACAGTCAAATCCTCATCCTTTTGGACTCTGCCAAGGAGGAATTGTAAGCAATTACAGAAAGAATCTACTGGCCCCATTGTTTATGGGCCAGACTGAAAAACCCATTACAGTTTAAACTGGATCAAAGTCAGGGAAGCAGCCTTGCCAGAGGTCTGCTCTCAGTGCCGTTTTAGTTTGCAAATGTGCTCTTTAATGCTTCTTTAAATATTGCCAAGACGCGATAACGGCAAACCTTTTAGGAAGTCAGAGGTTAGTTGCACCAAAACTAATCTTCCAGCAGAAATTGCAAAGCGAAGCTCTACAGTGTTTGGAAAACTGGAGGACGATAGGTAAAAATATCCAACCTTCTAATGCCGCTCCTTCTGCCTCAGCTGACAGAGCTGTCAGGGAGCGTTGCCGAGTAAATGATATTCAGATGGGCTGCGTGTGTGTGTTAGAGCGCAGAGGCCTCCCCTCGGCCAATGCCTCATCAGGAGTAATGGGCCATGCTGAATCAGATCCTAATCAATGTGCATTAGGATTTATTCCCATGCTCGCTCTGAGCGGCCTGACCACTGCAGTGGACGGACAAAATCATCATCACTCAGCCCAGGCAGAGGATATTCTGCACACTACCCACACTGAGCCGAATCAACCAGCATGTTTTTATTTAAAGACCAGCACAATCACACATACAAACAACGTCTAGAGCAGGATCCAAGTCACATAACAGATATTGATTAGTATTGACTTTAATGGGGATTATTTGTTAGGGGTCTATTCACCACCATATAAGCACAAATAAATAAACTCACAAACCACCTGTAATGTGTTTCTGCCGCTAAATAGGATCTGAATTATTGTTTTGAAGCCAATAACTGGGGAAATGTTATGTGCTTGTGAAGGCAGTTTGCGGAATGTGTTCACTCATTGTACTGCAGCTTGCTTATAACCTGATTTGAATGACCTACACTTTAAGACACGTCTGGCGATATTCTGTTTACTTTTGTTAAAAGATCCCACAAAAAGACTGAAACCTTAATGTATCCTTCTGTGCCTGTGTACCCAAAGCCTATTGTATGTTTTTGTGTGAAAATACACAATGTGCGCTGGGTGACATGTTTCTCCATTACAATGAACATCTAAATGTATTGTTAAATGAATCCCTCCTACAGTACAGCTAATAAATATTTCCCAGCAAAGGCACTGTTAGAAAAATAACTTCTTTTGATAATCCATCAATGGATGAAATTATTCTTCATGAAAAACATGGCAGAAAATGCTGTTTTTAGACTAAAAGAAAGAAATGTCCTTGTTTTTTTATACGATTATGAAAATAATTTGTAATTACAGCCCTACTTTAAAATATCAAACCATACATTTGTGGCCTATTAGATTTATATCTGAAACGAGAGGGCTTAAAGCTAAGTGTTGCAAGCAGGGTGGGGAAGTCAGAAGGTTGCCGTCTTTTCATGAGATGTGTTGACATTAAAAAACAAAGAATAACACCAGACTGCCTACAACTATTCACCCACAACGGTATAAATATTTAGTTTTTAATTGAGTTGTTTGTGTCAGTATTTTCAAACATGAATGCATAAAGTGTCTCAGCATCACCACACTGAATCATCACATCAATATTTTGTTAAACTGTGACATGTTATCTTCCTCATGTTTGTGTTGTTGTGTTTTTACCATTGTATCTATTATTCTGTGTTTGTTTACATGTCATTCTTCACTGTGAGTTTTCCTCACTTTTAGAAACACACCTGTGTAGTTTGTCCTCCTTTTCCAGTGAGATCTCGTGTGTGTGTGTGTGTGTGTGTGTGTGTGTGTGTGTGTGTGTGTGTGTGTGTGTGTGTGTGTGTGTGTGTGTGTGTGTGTGTGTGTGTGTGTGTGTGTGTGTGTGTGTGTGTGTGTGTGTGTGTGTGTGTGTGTGTGTGTGTGTGTGTGTGTGTGTGTGTGTGTGTGTGTGTGTGTGTGTGTGTGTGTGTGTGTGTGTGTGTGTGTGTGTGTGTGTGTGTGTGTGTGTGTGACCTTCATTGTGACGCCCCCCCGAGCTGTGCCATGTGTTGTCATTTTCTGTTTAACAGCACTTTTCTTTTCCCCTCTTTCCCTTTTGTCCCACCTTCTCTCACCGCCCACTCTGTTTTTGTCCCTGTTGACTGTTACTCAGCGGTGTTTTGCTCAATCCTGTGCCGCCGTATTGATTTGTTGACCCTCCTCCCCTCACACCCGGTGCTTCTCTTGTGGTTTTTGTTTTTGTTCTTATAGTTGCAGGACCCCCGCATGTATGATCAGGTCTATAGGTACCTAGACCTTCCAGGGCAGGTATGTGAAAATACAGCAATTTAAATCTTAAAACAATTGTGTGATTTCTGCCACAGCAGCTCTATGCTCCGATTCTTTACGGATGTGTGTATGTGTTGAAAGTCAGTCATGCGATGTTTAGGTGGCAGGAAGTGCTGTTTGTTGATGGACCAGATTAAATATGTAAAAAAACTATACCAAATGTCCATTTGAAAATGACTTTCTCAGTAATATTCTGCAGTAAATATGGATACTATGATTTGGTCCAAATCAGTCAATGAGCACTCCCTGTTCCCCAGCTAGTACGACGGACGGTATTTGGATAAATATCTGTGATTACTCTTTAGAAGCTAATTCAATCAAGTCTTCATCACCTAGTTTAAAACAGATACATGTTTTGACAGTAGCTGTTATGTAAATATATGGATATGTATGTGGCACGTGTTCAGTTAAATAAAGAAGGTGTAGCATCAGAAAAGATGTCCAACATAGATACACTTTTAAAATGTGGATTTGTTTATGTGTGTCTGAACAGTAATAAAATGCTTCGTTTACCCAGCTTTCTCTTTGTACCTATAAATCTGCCACCTGTGCCTGTTGTGATTTTCGTTTTGTTTTAAAGGATGTTAAATAAATAAATGTAACGGCAGCTAATCCGTTATGTTTTCTCTCTCACCCTCTCTCCTCACCCTTTTTTTTTTCTCCATCCACAAACCATCCTTTACGGATTCCTCCTCCCTCTCCCACTTCTCCTGATTTGTCCCTTCCCTCTAACCCCCCCCCCCCCCCCTTACCACCATCACCCTCCTTACCGCTGAAGATGAAGACGCTAGACCGTCCCCACGAGCAAGAGAAGATCCCGCGGGCGCCACACGACCGTAAGAAGGAGTGGCAGAGACAGGCACTGGGCGCTGAGCTCGCCCAGGACATACCTGAGGACAAACACAGAGAGGCTAACGGATCTGCAGGTTACCACGACAACAGGTATGTGGGATGGCTTAATGCACCTCAAGAGCAGACAAACATTTAAATTCACATAAGTTTATTATTGTTGGAAAGTAAGTAATACCTGGCCTTAGTCAAATGCTCGGCTTTACATACACGGTAACCATGGAAATACAGCATGTATAACTTCTAATTTAAAGTATATATGCGCTTGAAAAGTCCTGATTGTTTCACTTATTCGTCAGTATGATGTAATCTACAAAAATAAATTGCGCCTACTCCACAGAGAGAGCAAGATGTTGCAATTTAAACTTGAGCTGCAACGGCCACTATTAAGGTTATGATTGTGTTTATTGTTCCTCAGAGCTCCGGCCACTCATATTCAATCATTCCCTGCCAGTCAATGTGATTAATAAGAAAAACATTTTTGCAAAGTGCTGCTTTGCTTTGATTTTAGAGAGCCATGAATAGCTGACTGTATTTTTTCTCCCAAGTAATCAAGTGCAGTGTCAGCACATATAGATAGTTTGAATGCACACTCTTAGAGGTTATTAACTAAATATCCACAGTGTGATGAAATGGACAGTGTGCTGATGAAACGTCGTCTTTTTGTAGCTGAGGCACGTTAGCTTTTTTCGCTCCTAAATAATATATAAAACTGGTGCAAGATGCAGAAAGACGCCGATAAACTGTTGTTTCTACAAGTAACTTCATTCAATGTGGAAAGAGGGATTTAAAGGCTTGACCTGAGCCAAAGTAGAGCCTCCATCCATTCCTGTTGTTAATTACAACAGTTGTTAATTACATTTTGAATGTGTTCAAATATCTACATCAGATGGGTCTACTCATTGCATCTCTGATCTTATTTATATAACAGATGAAAGGGTGGAATGTTGTTAACATTAATACTACAAAATATGAATAAATGCTGGAACATGTTTCCTTATTACCACTCTGCTTCGTAAATACAGGATTGATCAGGAAAAGGGGTATTTCTTAACTTATTAAGAATTGTTTTGATTTAGAGTAGGCAGACAGTTGTATCCTTTTACATCGATTATGATAGTTCCCAACCGGGGGGTAGATCATCCTCTTCCTATAAGATGATTACAGGATAGGAAGAACACTAGCAAAATCATATTCATTTATTTTTTTATTCTTGCATGTTTGTTTTTTGTGAAGTGGCTGTTTTATCTCTTCATGCCTCCAAACTGTATTCAAATGAATCCAGAAAGGTTATGAGAGGAAATGGTTCTTCCTGAGTGAACAGTAAAAAGGGCTCACGGGAAGACTTTGCTGGATGGTAGGGGTCACTTGTGAGCTTGTGCACACCAAAATATAAATGTGTGGGATAATTGGGGAGTAACATAAATAATAATAATTTATCAACAGTTGTTTCTCAATGGGCCATAAGTGAAAAAGGTAGGGAAAACTGGGTCAATTCTCTGTGTAGCATGACTATGTTTAAGCTCTGTCAGCAGAAAGTAATTGGTAATAAGAATACAATGGACAATAGAGGCTGGATTAAAGCAAAAAATCAGCGAGGTAAATTCAAAGTTTGTGAGTTAAGGACAACGCCTCTCTCTGCTCAGGGCTCCCATGTACTTGGAAGATATGGAGGGGCCCTTCTCTCTGGCGGCGCTGCCCTACAGCCAGATGAACGAGCTGCTGAACCGTACCGGGGACAGAATGTATTCACGGCCCCACGACCCTCCACCGCCTCCACCCCTCATGCACCCACTGGGAGAGATCAAGCCACCCTCTGTGATCAGGTGGGAGAGTAGACCACACATAACCTCAGATTTACGACCCCCACGGAAACTTTAAATAATATACTTTGCATAGAAATTGCAAAAAGGTGATGGTTGCTCACCCGAGAAGTTGTAGCTCTGATTTCTAACTTACCTGAAAAGGGAGTGCTACTCATCTGGTGCAGAGAAAGTAATTCACTGAGTCTCTTTAGGTGTGTTTCCCTCTTCCTGGTGAGTTGGGTTAATTTCCTTTTGATTCTGCCTGAGAGGACGAGGATGTTTCACTCTGTTTGAGCAAAAAAAGAAAGGGTGGATGGATAGACGGAGGGTTTGTGGACCAAAGCTGAAGAAAAAAGGAAAAGTCTCAGAGAAGGGCAGGATCAATAAAGTGTTAAGGCCACTGAGCGCATTACAGGTTGTTTCGAAGGAACGGAGATGAGAGGGAATGATTAAGGATGTGGTTGCAAAACAAATCTCATTGATTCTTTGCAGCGATCTTCTTTGATTCTAGATTTGATTTACTTCTACTTTTAGCCTTTGTGTGACCTTTTGATTCTGGTATCTCATGGTTACTTTCTTTAAAAAGTTATTATTATCAACTTCTATGTCTAACTTTCACACTTTACCCCTTCCCTACTGCTTTAATGTAGCACTTAGAGGAAATACTCAACACATTATCCCCCCCCACACTTCATCCTCGCTGTGCTTTTTGTGTGTTGCAATTTTCTCCGTAGAAAGAAAATTGATTGTGAACATGTCGACCTTTGTGTTGTGATGTCCTGATTCTCCCACACAGCTTCAGCAGCAGTTAATGTCCTATAGTGAAAACATTCTGCCTTTAATGTACGAGCTGACTAATTACTAAGACTAGTGTCAGTCTTTGTAAACATGATAGTTAAAGTATGCCGAAGCGGATCCATAAAAGCAAATTGGTAGCTACATGTTATTATTTTAAGAGCAAATGTATATATATATTGGCTGCTCCAATGTTACCCATGTATGAAGGTGTCACCCTCTCTCTCTCTCTCTCTCTCAGACCTCTGATTCAGACTGTTCTCTCACCCTCACGGCTCAGCACTCATCCTCGTCATGACCTTCTTTTCTTTCCTTCTCTCTCTTTTTTTCCTTTCAGTTCCAGTTCAGGTTTTTCCGACAGCAGACCCCAGTCTCCAGCACGGACATCAGGCTTCAACTCCAACACTCCCCCTCCACCGCCCCCCCCCTCTCCCTCCTCCGCCTCCCCCGTTACCCTCCTCAGGCCTACGGGGCACTCCTCCTCCTCCCATTCCTCCTCTTCCAGTGCATCAGCATCCTCCGCCCATCCCCCCCCCTCCGGCTCCACTCCAGATCGCCCCCGGTGTGCTGCACCCGGCCCCGCCGCCCATCGCCCCGCCCCTCCACTGCTCCCCGGCCCGTCTCCAGCAGGTCCTGGAGAGGGGGCTGCCCTCGGGCTCTGGCACCCAGTCGGACGGCAGCATCCTGCCTCCCCCCCCGCCGCCTCCCCCTCTGCCCCTCACTGGAGGACGGAGCTCCTCGCCCTGTCTCTCAGGCCCCCCACCCGTGCCGGCCTTCCCCTCAGCAGGAGCCATGGCCCCCCCCCAGGGCAGCAAGAGGCACCAAGCAGCCAGCCTGCCCCCCATCAGCGACGCTCGCAGTGTCCTGCTGGAAGCCATCAGAAAAGGTGGGTTGTGTTTTACCAGAAATGTGGGAAGGTTCCCCAGTAAACAGTGAGGAGTCATGCTTTCTCTGGACAAAGCACACAATTACTTTTTTAGGGAGAAGTGTGTCTTTGTTATTGAATTGCAATTCTTTTTAAATTGCGGAAAAAAATTAAAAATCTAGAAAAATAACTTATAAAATGACCGGAGAAAAATGGGTACTTGTGGGTTATCTGTCAGACTCTAAATACGCACTTTTCTAGAGAGGGTTAGGGATAGTATATTTTTGTGAAAATGGCTATATGATAACACACATCTGTATTTGTGAATAAGTTGGAAAACTATATAAAAATTGTCGACAAGGGTAAAAAAAGTGGCGACAGATAACCCACAATTTCCGAAAAATGTGTCAATTGATGGAGGAAGGATAATTAACTGACAGAAACATTATTAATTTTAAAAGCCAATTTTAAGCAAACAATTATGAAATGTATTCCAGCTTCTGAAATTGTAATATTCGGTGATCTCATAGTGAATAAAATGTGATGTTTTTGTACTGACATGCTATTATGTCATCATAACCTCTCTTTCTCTGCTGCTTCTTCCAGGCATACAGCTTCGGAAAGTGGAGGAGCAGCGAGAGCAAGAGGCTAAGCACGAGCGCGTTGGCAACGACGTGGCAACCATCCTGTCCCGCCGCATCGCTGTGGAGTACTCCGACTCCGAGGATGAGTCCGAGTTTGACGAAGGAGACTGGATGGAGTGATGGAGATCAACAGATGGAAGGGGGGTGGAAAAAGGCAGAGGAGGCAGAGGAGGAATGTGTTCAGGTGCACTCCACACCTCGCCATCACAGTCCTTTCTACTCTGCAAAGAAGCAAAACATTGTTGTCGCCCACTCTTCCTCTGTCGCGCTTCATTCTTTCTCAAATCTCTGTCTTGTGGTTTGTCTTCGGAGGAGAATCTTCATGTCCTGGTCTGTCTCTAGTGTTCCAAAAGAAGTTTTTGCATTTATTCTTTTCTGCACATGACATTGTTTCTTCTGGATTTCTTGTGATGAAGTCCCCCATGTTTACTATTGTTATACATGAAAATAACTTTTTGAAGAACCACTTGTTTTGTTTCTTATCTGTACTTCGATGTAAAAAAAACAACAAGAAAAGGAAAAAATGAAGGCATGTTGAATTCTCCTTAGTTCTCCAGCACCATTTTGCCACCCGGTGGCACAAAATGGCATTGAGTGGAAGCTGGTTTATTTTATCGTCTTTCATTTACATTTTTCTGCTGACACATTTGCCGTTGTAACGGGACAGTAGTTGCTGATACTGACCACTACATGAACTCAGTTTTTTTGTTACTTGTCATCAGGACTGACTCCACCACTTAGAACAAGCTAAAGATTGTGTTGGTATGTCATGTGATGTTTGCTATATAGGTGAAAATGAAGAAGGGGAAGCTTGTGCATATCCATTCACTTACATCCAACTTTTACCCCAGGGAAATGTATGCCAAGAGATTGAGCTGTTTGTCTGTCAAGGTTCTACAGAGCCCTGTATGCTCACGTGGACATCAAGAGAAACACTGAGCCATCGGCTTTCTGCATATCGAGCTCCCATCATTTCTTTGCCATAGAAATGGACACTAGAAGTGGTTAGATGCTGTACATGTACGTCAGATCTCCTGCCTGTTTACTGTTCCTGATACATTTTCAGTGTGCAGAGGAAACAAGTGTGAATTTCAAAAAGGAACCCACTCAACAGAGTCTGACCAACACCAGGTAAACCCACTCAACAGCACTGAAGGCAGCTCTTCCCTCAGATCCCCTGTTACTGAGTCCCTGCCCAATGACAAGAAGCCTTACCTCCTTCGGTTCTGCAGCAACAAACACAATAATACATGTTCTACGAGACTGCCCTTTCAGGCATGAAAGAGAAGGATACATTATGCCTTGTTTTGGCTCATTTCAAAGAAAATGTCTGCCATCCTTTTCTGTTCGTCGTTCGTTCGTTCTTTCTTCTACTTGCCTTATTGTTCGTACAAAACGTATCGTTGAGTTGATGAATGTATTGTGCTGTTACTACTTACTTGCCTGCGCTTGTATGGATTTGCTGTTTCTATGTTTGGGGAGGGGGGATGACGGGGGGGGGCACAGTAACCCTGGTTTAAAAAAGAAAAAGATTAGATCAATACTGTATACCATGTAACTTATGTAACTGTTGACTGTAACAGTTTGCTTGAATTAATAAAAATCTAATGTTATGTTTTAGCCCTAAATGTTATGGGTCTGTTGTTGTTGTTGTTGAGTTTGTCTCCGCAGCCAACAAAAGTGTTATATGGAACATCACCAAGACATAAAGTCAATTAAAGGCATTCATTACTCCTTTCATTATGGCCATTAGCAACATCTTGTTGATATAATTATACTACATGAGATCACGTTAATTAAGAAATTGTCAAATCAAACATCTGTTCAGCTAAGAAAAATGACCAATCCTAGTTTAGTTTTGGGGTACTATAAGCAAAAGAAATATGTTCAACTTAATATTCCTGATTGCTGTTAGTTAATGCAAGCATATCATAATAAAGGATGTCTCTTTGAAATGTGGCATCATCTATCTGTGCAGCTGCCTTAAAACAATTCAATAACTCTGGATCAGTTATAATTAACATCAAATCCGAGGATGATTTATTTGCTGGGCATTTTGTCATATAATTAATATTAAAAGATGAATCTGTATAAGGAAGTCTGCCAGGCACTCAAAGTTAGCTAATGAGAATTAAGAGGATCATTTTATCCGAATTAGCAGTTTAGCCTTGTAATGTCTTGGCCATGATCCACGTAATAGAACAGCTCTGGGTCATTTTATGCTATGAAGAACGGAGAAATCCCTTACAATCAAATAAAGCTAACTCACTTATCCATATCAGAAGGAATAGTGCTGGGAGTTTATCCCAAATGATCCACATCTTGACTTTTGGAGGAGAACCCTTTCAGATTGTGTTTGTCAGGTGTGGATAAAGACTAACGGTTATCATTAAAAGCTCACAATTACATGTGCCATCTCACTTCACTCTCACCTCCCTCTGTTCCCATATTGATCTTGTCTTATTCTCACCTACACTCATCATTTCTCCTCCCTCTCCTCGTCTTCTCACCTCTCCCCCTGTGTATAGAATAGAGAGTACTGAGAAGAAAGAGAAATGTGTTGTTCCTGGAGTTTTCATATTTATATCCTGTCACCGTCACTCTTTATCCTCTAAGCCTGCACTTTCAAAGACGCCGGGTGTCACATGACAGCTGCGTCTTAAATTCATGTCAGCTTTGTGACCGGGTGTTCAATACATCGTGAAATGCTCTCATTGCAGATGACAGCATGCTGGGAGGAGGACGAGTGTGAGCGTGTGTGTGTGCGTGCGTACGTGCGTGTCAGTGGCGAACCGTCAGGGCCTTCAAGGTATTCAGAGAATACCCTGGAACACTCAGATAAAACAAACAAAAAAATCGATTTAATTATATAAATAAAATGTATATAAAATGAATAAATGAGAATCGTATCTGTGTTGTTGATCTGTAATATTACAGTGTTACGTTGATTTGTTTGTCCTTCTCGGACCATGCACTCCGCATTTCAGTGGGTTTGTGTTAGAAAAGAAAGCAACCAATCAGATCTTGTTCTGGGTCTCTGGGTAGAATATCCTTCAACCAAGGTATTCTACATCCTTGATAGAATGCCCTGGCCGTTGCACTGAATGAGAGCGTTTGGACTGACAGTTTGATCAACCTATCATATATTGATTTGTAGCCAATGGGCGTATTCTTTCAGAGTTTCACTCGGTTTCAGGGTATTCTAGAAGGCCCGCTAGTTAACTGGCTCGAGACAGAGGATCTAGATGAATGCGACGAAGCAATTCATGCAGTTTTATTGTTTTTAACGTTGAAATGACAAGTGCAACAGGTGAAGATGAAGTTGTTGCGGAATTGTTGTGAGTACCCTTTTCAAGACGACAATTCAGTGAGAAGACGGACATTATAATGCCGCGACACACACACACCTCCCGTCGCGGGGCGACTGGAGGTGTGTGTGTCTACAGAAGGTCCAGTTGTGATAGACACGGTTCGCCACTGGTGTGTGTATATATGGGTGCTGTACCTAGTACCAGATAGTCTTATTTTCCCCATGCTTGGATGTCCCACTGTTTCACCACGGGGGAAATTACCTGATTTGTTTTCTTCCAACATATAGTCAACAAACCTTAAGGAGTCGGTGGACGCGCCGGCGCGTCCAAGTGCACATTTATTTACGTATTTAATCATAGATTTTCGCTTGTAAGGAGTAGAAATATGATTCAGATATCTGCGGAATCGCTAGAATCGTAGCTTTTCAATAGTATCTCCCGTGAGACTGTACCCAGGGCACAGCAGCCAATATTGCCGCTCAAAGCAGCTTGATTACACTGTGATTGGTGGATTTGTGTGTCAGTCAAGGACATCTCGGCCGGCCGGCAGCCATGTCGGTCTGAAATTACCAATGGCCACTCGAGAAATCTAAGGACCTACCCACCAATAAAAAAACATTTAACAGGTGTCTCTCCCATCACTTTCAGTCTTTTAGTCTGTGAAGAAGATAGAGAAAATGGCTCGAAGGAATTTTACCGTTGCGGACGCGCTGGATTTTATTTTCGCGAGCGGCAGTGAAGAAGATGGCTCATCAGAACCTGAAGGCTTCGACTCTTCTGAAGAAGAAGAATACAGGGACAGCAGGGATCCATTTGAGGATGGGTAAGTGTAAATATAACTTGTAGTGCATTTGCCATTTTGTGAGGAGTACCGCGAAAATGAACAATGGATTTATCAACCTTTTTATTTTCCCCTCATGAACTTTTTCTCGGGACAAAATAGACTCTTGATTAGTAAACGTTTACTCTGTGTAAATGTTATTTATGTGTAAACGTTATTTTGGCATGTATAAGTAAGGTTACATGTGTAGACGAATAAAAATAATCCTTTATTCGTCCCACAACGGAGACATTTATAGACATGTATTTTATTTGATCATACTGTTCTGTACAGATGAGACTTTGTCATAGACTTATTTACATGTGTGTCTGTGATTATTTTACCATACTGTTCTGTACAGATGAGACTGTCATATACTTATTTACATGTGCATTTGCCATTTTGTGGGGAGGAGCATGAAAATGAACAATAGATTCATCAGCCATTTATTTTTTTCGTCATGAATTTTATCTTTGGACAAAATAGTCTCTTGATTAGTAAACGTTTACTCTGTGTAAACTTTATTTATGTGTAAACGTTATTTTGGTGTGTATAAGTAAGATTACATGTGTAGATGCATGAGATAATCCTTTATTTGTCCCACAACGGAGACATTTAATTTATTTATATGTGTGCCTGCCATTTGTGGGGAGTGCTATGTAGTAATGGGGAGTACAATGTGTGTGTGTGTGTGTGTGTGTGGTGTGTGTGGGTTTGTGGTGTGTGTGTGTGTGTTGTGGTGTGTGTTGTAGTGTGTGTGTGTGTGTGTGGTGTGTGTGTGTGTGTGTGTGTGTGTGTGTGTGTGTGTGTGTGTGTGTGTGTGTGTGTGTGTGTGGTGTGTGTGTGTGTGTGTGTGTGTGTGTGGTGTGTGTGTGTGTGTGTGTGTGTGTGTGGTGTGTGGTGTGTGTGTGTGTGTGTGTGTGTGTGTGTGTGTGTGTGTGTGTGTGTGTGTGTGTGTGTGTGTGTGTTGAACTTCGTAATAATTATTGTCCCACAATTTTTATTTGTTTTACAGAGAGGTTTCACAGCTGCCTGGGCCTAGCGGCCCACAGATGACATTTATCCAGGAGCCTCCAGCTGTGCCTGCCACCATGTTGAGATCTACCATGGATCAAGGGCCTTCACCACTGCCATCCCCACCAAGGACTAGCGGACCAGCATCACGACAGCTGCCTCCATCTCTGCCTGCGACGAGGTCAAGATACACCTCAGCTCCGCCACAGCCATCACCATCAACCCGGACAGCAAAGAGGTCTCGTAGAGCACACGTACCTCCCACACAGCCACCAGCTGCCCATGCACCATCACCCCCACCTGCACAGCAGCCAGCTCCACTGTCTTGGAAGACAGGCGAAGACCCTGACACTGCTCCCCCTGTCTCCAGGTTTCAACCTGCTCGCACACCCGGGCCACAGCTCAGCGCAACAGTATCAAACAAACCCCTTGACCTGTTCAAGCTGTTCTTCAGTGCACTAACAGTACAGACACTCTGTACCAACACAAACAAGCGGGCTGCACAGGAGATGGGGAAAGGGTAAAACCTACAAATGGACTGACTTGACTGTAGAGGATTTCTATAAATACATGGGGCTGCTGAAACTGGACAATGTATTGGACTACTGGAGGAAGGATCATTTTGTCAGTGTATAATGAATAGTTGGTTGAAGGAAAAAAAGTTCTGATGTTCAATATTGTAAATAGTGAGATTTTGCAGTTATATTTATATTAGGGCCGGGACTCGATTAAAAAAATTAATCTAATTAATTAGAGGCTTTGTAATGAATTAATCGAAATTAATCGCATTTTTAATCACATATAAATATTTGACCTAAGAACAGTGAGAAGCAATTTTTTTCACATGGATTTTAGTATACCATTAGGCGCATTCACACCGCAGTACTTTTCCCACAAAGGTTCATGAGAATTTAGTTCATGAGAACTCTTTGAACCTGGGGGTGGATTAGGCAAATGAAGCCGCTGACGTCACTTCTTCTTCTTCTGCTTTGGGTTTACTGGCAGGCCGCAAACCACTTCACGGCGTATACTGCCGCCCAAAGTCCCCGGCCGGAAGTCCCCGGAGTTGGGGACTGGCTTCAGTAGAAGCTGCTGGGAGTCCCAGCAGCCTTCCGAGTAAATCGCCAGAACGCCGACACCTCCTCATCTCCACCGCTCCCATGTTTTATTTTGTGTTGCCATAAGTTAGTCTCTCTGCGTTTCTGCGCTGGGCTAATGCTAATGCTAATAATGCTAATGCGAGGATAATAAAATGGCGGCATCACAAAACTTTTTGGGAGTTTTACGGGGCGTGGTTTGCAATCCGCCCAGCCAATCAGAAATATAGCTCTTTTCTCACGAGAGCCGTACGAAAGTCCCTGCTCTCTCGCAGCTCTCTGCTCTCTAGCAGGGACTTTCGTGGGGGTAAAAAGGTTCTCATGAACTAATTTTAGTACCGGCTCTTTTTGGTGTGAACGCGATAAAAAAGGCTAACGTCCAGGCTAGCTTCCACGCTAGCTGCTATATGTTTTGCATTGAGGTGATACTTGAGGCTTGATGTGCTGCGGTGATATGCGAATTCCTTTTTGCATAATTTGCACACAACCGTGCTCTTATCGACGCTTCCATCCGTCCGTTTTTGAAAACAACATTTCCCACTGTTGTTCACTGTGGTTTGTTGTTGTCTGAAGTCATGAACGTTAGTTGGTGCTCCAGTATAATCGGTACGCCTGAAACTCATCCAGTAAGAAACGTTCCGCGGTGCAAAAATAAGTGCGATTAAAATGCGTTAATTTTTTTAACGCGTTAATTTTTGTGTAATTAATTAATCTTAATTAACGCGTTAAAGTCCCGACCCTAATTTATATACATTGTTGGTATTATAATAAATTGTGGGTTGAAAAAAAAAGTTCTAATGCTCAATTCTTTTCTTTTTTTACACATCACATGAACCTTGGTATGTAATATGAAGTCATTATTCAGTCCTGATATATCAGTCCCTGCTGTGGTGAAAGTAGAGTGATTGACAGCTGTTTTACTCAGAATTCGAATTTATAAAATTTCATTTTAGACATGAATAACACATTTATATACAGTGTAATTCAAATATTTCACTACTTTTGTAATCCTAAGACTTTGGTAACCAAATCTAAAACACCAAAATAATTCGATCACATGAGTAAATTTGTGTTTTCACAAGAGTTTGAAGATTTTCCGAAAATCAGATGTCAAATTTTAAGCTTTTGAGCTACTTATCTCATCAAACAGTGCTCTAAGGTGAGTAATCTGCATATATAGCAATACTAGAGATTGTCCTGAACATTTTGATATGTAACACATGGGTGCCATGTTAGAAGAAATACATTTAAAAGGTGATTTAAGAAAACATCTAAAAATCGAGAAAATACCCTTAGACTCCAGAGGGTTAAATAGCTTTTGTAAAAAGAATCATCAGCTGCTGGTGTACTTTGTTATCACCCCCACATTGGGCAATCAATTGTTCAGCTCCTTAGTAGAATTGTGCTTATGCAGAATATTCCACCTGCCTGCAGTAATTGACTGTAAAACAAAAGCTAAAAATAATACCGTCCTGCTCTAAAGTGATTATATGTGTTCCTCTTCGCTGTAATCTACACAGCAGCAGACGGTTTATTGGAACAATCCCCCGCAGTGGAAGTAGTTTGCGTAGAATAGAAAGCCTTTTGTGAGCAACTTTATATGAATAATTTTTCTGAGGGACTACACAAACTGTTTAATGCCCTTATTTTACTTTCTCTGTACAGTGTCTTCGGGAACAGACTGAAACACAAAATACACATATCTGCACATCAGCTGTTTAATTTAGTTTTGTAATATAGGCACTACTTTCTACTGAGACTAATCTATCAAAGAATTGTTCAAGTCTTCAAAAAAGGGGGATGAATACAGATACAGAATACATCAACGTGTAGAAACATAACTGCACCCAAAACTCTAAAAAAGAGAAGGCATGAGCAGAAACACTGAAATGTATTTACAACAGAATTCATGGAAGACTACTTCAGTCAGGAAGCATTTTCTTATACAGGACTGACGACTATCAACATGATCTACAGTCTAATGATATGAGAAATTGAATAAATAAAATGTTATACTAAATTGAATCATTACCCCAACTTTCAGTATCTTCATCCATAACTACTAAGCACCCTTTATTTGCCAGGGTTAACAATGAACACATTATACAGTACAAGTACTTCAGAAATCCCTATAAAAGACATTTAGTCTATTAAAATATATCTAAAAAAGGAAAATATATAAACATTTCTAGCAAAATCAACACATTTCTTAGTTAAAGTACTACTGAGAGAAAGAAGGGCTCACACACACTATAAACTAAAATAACAGATTTGCAGGTATTGATCTTATACCGTCACAACGTATCTGTTGGCATGACTGATTCAGGACTTATTTTGCTGCCGTATTGCAAAGGAGAAAATCTCTCTGTCTGTCTCGTCACTTAACTTTGAGAGGGTTCCCCTTCCTTCGCGGCAGCTCCTTCTGGACCTGACGGGCCCGGGTCCCGAAGCCCAGGGACTGCAGGGACTCTGTGACGTAGCGCTGCGTGGGGGAGACGCACAGCATCACCAGCAGCTTGGCATCTCCGCCTGGGATGGAGACAAGAGGGGATGTTCAAGACTGACATGTCACTGACACCACCCAAAAATTACATTAGAGTTCAATTCAGAAACAAGTAGGTTTACACATATGAGGATTTTTGCCTTAGTGTATAAGCTGCATACATAAAACACAGCTGAAGAAGATAAATTGTAAGAAAAACTGAGAAAAATAACAACAATCATAAAAAACGATTCAAAAAAACTATTATGACGATACGATACGATAATACTTTAATGGTCTGAAATTTGACTTGCATCACAGCAGCTCCATGTGTAACATCAACATAGATAAATATCAAGACACAATACATGAAAAACAAACAACAAACATTTAACAACAATCACTGAGAGAAAACATGCTGAAAGAGCCTTTAGCGTTCATTTGATCTGGGATTTAGCTCTGTAAATGTATGACATTAAGATAAAGACAATTATTCACAGGAAATATAGATATACCAAAAGATTACAATAAAAAGGACAAAATACAATTTAATGACATGTGTCATACTTTTCTTTTCCTTTTTAGGGCAAGGACAAATACAGACATATCTTGACGTAGTGTTTTGGATGATTCAGTGTTGTCTGAGTTACAGTACTGGTATGTGGAATCTCTCAGCTCGGTGAAGACATTTTGGTGTCAGTGACTCTTTCCCAGGAAATGCAAACCCAGAAGATATGAATCACAGGTGTTAGAAAAAGAGTGTGTAAGTGTGTGTGCGCCTCACCTATGGCGTCCTGTAGCAGATGGGTGAGTTTGCTGTTCCTGTAGGGGACGTGTGGTCTCTGCTCAGCCAGAGCTCCCAGGACATCGGACAGAGCAGAGAGACTGCGGTTTATACAGGACACCTCCCACAGAGCGGCGCCCGAAACTCCAGACATACCTGACACACACACACACACACTTTTTAACTGTCTGCACGGAAGCTGATTGATATGCATAATGAACAAGCATCCGTTCTACTTGGTTCAGTGACAGTGACCCATACACATATAACAACAAAGACTATACTAGAACACCCCTTGTTGTGTAATACCAATTATGTGCAATATATGCCGTTAATAGCTGTGCAATATACCAGGCTGCTATATCTCTCAGAACTGTTACAGGATGTGTATTTTGTAAATGGTGTTGTTGTTTTTATCTTTAATATTTTGTGTGCATGCTTCTTGGTTATCATTAAGCTGTCTTTGGTTCTTTTCTTGCTGTAACACATTCATATGTCCCCTCTGTGGGATGAATTAAGGTATTCTGATTCTTATTCTGACCTTTTTTCTGTGTAAATACAGGTTGATTACCAAAACCTGCATCCTCAGCTGTGTTTGTACAGGCTGTATATGAGCAGGTTGAAATCTGCACAAAGCAGCTTATCCCCAGCATCTGAATTAGACATGCCAAATGACTGTTTTTCAATTATTTACATTAAAAAGGTATTTTTTCCAGGTTAAATGTGGCCAGATGCATCTTCAAACAATCACAGACCAAATTTCCCACGACACTAACTAAATTCACATCCTTGAGCCCCTCTCACCGACACTCTCGCTCCCTGCCAGGTCCACCAGCTGCAGCTTGATTTTGAACAGAGCCTGGGAGACGCTGGGCCTGGGGGAGGGACAGGGGGAGTGTGAGGGGGAGCGGCTGGGAGAGGAGGCCGTGCTCGCGAAGAGATGATCCTCAGATGATTTGCGCGCGACGAGGTTGGCACGGCGACAGCGTGGGCTCCACCATTCCTTCTGAGCGGCCAGCTGCATGTCCTTCTTGGCACTCTGGAGCCGGCGGGCTGAATGGAAACAAACAGTGTATGAGTGTGTGGCCAACAGGTGTCATCAATGCTAACGTGTGTGTGTGTGAGTGTGTGTGATTGCGTCTCACCCAGGGCCAATGCGTTGGGGCTTTTGGAGGAAATGGTGAGGGTGACAATGAGGTGAGAGCGAGAGGAGTCGGGGTGGACGAGGGTGGGACAGTGAGCCCTGAGCTTCAAAACCCTGCTGAGGATCTGCATCACCTCAGAGGCATCCCGCACGGGCCTGGAGGACATATGAAACACATCCGACATGAAGTGATAGCTGCTAAAATCAGTATTGAACATGAAGTGACTATGGGAACAATATAACTTACCAAATTACGACCCAGTGCAGCCTGTATTGGTTTTATCTTATAGTTTTACTGCATTCAACCTTACCGTTTGGTTCACCCGCCACACCCTGATAGCGTCATTTTCAGCCCTTTCCCATTACACATCATTTGATACATTTTACATGTCAAAAAGCATTGATTATAGGAATACAAAACAAAGGCAGGCTTTTTCCCATAGTGCAAACATTTAATTTGGTTGGTTTTAATAAATTATATTTGACAAAGGTACTAGTATTTATATTTGATTCATCTGTATTTGAGCTGTTTTATTTGTCAGGGTTATAGGCAATACGAAATTATTGTAATTAGTGTGTTGACTGTTAAGTGTGTACCATAGGTGTGTACCTGTCCAAGGACTGCAGATGGAAATGTGCTTTTAGCTATAATCTGGCATATAGCATCTCTTCTCTGTTTGAGATTAATGTATTTTTATGCATGGTACCCGTTCAATAGAGATATAAAAATAATAATAAATAGAAGAAACACAATCTTATATTCTGGTTGTCTCCTCCTCAGCTGCGGCTGGACTCACTGGTATTTGAGGGTGATGACCTGGCTGGTTCCATTGGAGGTGGTGATGACGTCGCAGCGCTGCTCCACCGGGTTGCCCTGCGCATCTTTGGCCAGAAGGTCGAGCACCTCGTTGTTGTACACCTCCATCACTGACACCTCCACTGTGTGGCTGTCTGCTGGCTTCTCAGAGATCATCCTGCACACACACACAGGAATAGGAACAAAACCCCATACATGAAAACAAAAAGACAAAGTTCGAACTAAATATATTCTATTTTGACACACTAATGGATCAACTTTATCTCTACACAGTAAATCAGAACAGATCTACTTTGGATTCAGCATGTCATAAAAAAACACATCTCGCAGAGTTTAGTCATTATAGACAGTAAATATCACCAAAAACAAACAAATGCTTTTCTTCCTCACCGAAAGAGTTCAGCAGCCGCCTTGGGGATGATGCCCTGCTGCGCCCCCGGCTGCGCCCTCTGCTGTCCCCCCGAGTGCTCCTCCAGCAGCTGGGAGCCCATCATGGTGTGAGTCTTCCCACTTCCTGTCTGCCCGTACGCCATGATACACACATTGTAGCTGCAGGGCAGGAGATGACATTCAAGACATGCAGTCACATTATGCCGTTTGTCACATTTTTAATTGTTTGTTCTTCAGGGTGGTATTCCAATTAATATAGCTAAATGAACATTTGAATGGCATGTGATTTGATATAGCCTTTTTTTAATGCTTCCGTACTCACCCGTCCAACAGAGATGTGAGGAGCGGCTTGACTTCCTCGAACACTGCATCCTGGGATTCCTCTGGTCCATGCACTCTGGAAGAAACACAGAGGAATCATTGATACTTTTTAAACCAACTAGAATAATTGCGCCATGACGGTGTTTGTTTTTACCTCTCAAACTCATACATCTTGTTATGCACTGGCATTCCAGGTTTTATGCAATTCACCATCACTGTGTCCTAAAAAAAACAAATGGGGCAAAACAAAAATAGGGTGAGGCTGCTAGCGGCAATTAAATATTATAAATGTTAAGAAAATGTAAAACTCACATCACTGACTGTAGACACCACTTCTTCTGATAATGCAGGCCTGACAGAAAGAAACAACACATATATTTGATATTTTTAGCTTTTCAAGTGCAAAAAAACTATAGGTTACTTACGTAACCCCAGTTCTCAGAGTAACATGAAGTGAGATGTCTCACTATGGGATGCGCCTCATCGCGGAGCAAACAGAAGCATCAATCTCATTACGCCAATCCTGATTGGCTGGAGATCTTGACGTCAGCGTCAGGGAAATCACCCCCTATAAGTAGCTTGCGCCACAACGCATGCGCCATTCAAAATAAGCACCTCTTCTCGCTTCACCATAGCAAGGAGGGCCGTCTGGTAAGACATCTCACTTCATGTTACTCTGAGAACTGGGGTTACGTAAGTAACCTATAGTTCTCATTCATAACACTCCGTTCGATGTCTCACTATGGGAAATTGTAGCTCCTGTATTGTCAGACGAGCTTATCTCGAAAATCACCAAACCAACCAGAACTTAACAGGTAGAGCTCTGACTCAACCAGGTGCCCAGCACTGCTTGAGTCACACTGGGAGCAGAACGTCCAGCCTGTTAGGAGGCAGACAAAAGTGAGCGGCGAGGACCAGCTCGCCGCTGCACCAATGTCTTTGATGGGAGACATCCTGGACAGAGTCCAGAATGCAGCCAGACTCTGAGTCGAAAGAGCTCGCGGACCCGAGGGTGCCTGCGAACTCTGACTCGTATGAGCCCCAAAGCAATTGCTTCCACAGACCAGTGGGAGAGCCGTTGCTTAGTAACAGGCTTGCCCTTATAAGGGTTAGCCCAGGACACAAGGGGTTGGTCATTATGACAAAGCACCCTTGATCTGTCCCTGTACGTGCGTGAAGCACGGGCTGGACACGGCAAATCCGGCCGCTGTTCCCCGGAGGAATACAGTGGCGGGGAGGATGCCTTAATGTCAAATGTGGTACCTGAACCAACCGCCTTAAGATAAAGGCAGGGTCAGGCTTCAACCACACTCTGTTTGCCCAGGGGCAAACTGAGTGCATGAAAACTGTACAGATAGTGCATGAGTGCCACTGGCTCGCTTGGCAGCTGCCAGGGTCAGCGTCATGTCACACTGTATTTAGATTGTACCACTCACGGGCCAGGCCCATAGAGCCAAGCGCTCTGGGTGTGGGTGAAAGATCGCCCCCCCCGCTTGGGACAGTATGTCCCTGCGTAGTGGGAGCTGCCATGGCTGCCCGCACAGCAGCTGATATATCTCCGCTAGCCAGTACATAGCTGGCCAGTGCGGAGCTATCAGGATAAGTGTGTGGCGTTGCTCTCTCACTCTGGCCAGAGTTGGGGGTATCAGAGCCAGGGGTGGGAACGCGTACAGAAGGCCCGGGGGCCAATTGTGCGCGAGTGCATCCACGCCTAACGGTGCATTTAGATCGCGCATCGAAAAGAACAGCTGACACTGAACGTTGTCTTTCGATGCGAACAGATCCACCGCGGCTCTGCCGTAACGCACCCACAGCTGGCTCACAATCCTTGGATGTATAGTCCAGTCTGCATAAAGTGGTATACCTCTGGACAGTAGATCTGCCCCGAGGTTCATCACTCCCGGTACGTGCGTCGCTCTCAGAGAGAGGAGACGTCTACCGCTCCATAGGATCAGTTTGCGCTCCAGTGTGTGTAACTGGAGAGAACGCAAACCCCCTTGGCGGTTAATATACGATATTGTGGTCGTATTGTCTGTCCTCACGAGGACGTGATGTCCCCTGAGGAAAGGCAGAAAGCGTTTTAGGGTGAGAAACACCGCTAAAAGCTCCAGGTAATTTATGTGTGCCCGCTGGAGGTCTCTGCTCCAGAGACCCCTCACCGGGCGACCTTCATAAATACCTCCCCAACCTGTCAGACATGCGTCCGTGGTGACCACTTTCCGTGAAAGGACAGCACCCATAGGCACACCTCGTACTAGAAAAGTCGGGTGCAGCCAGTGGCGCAGTGCCATTACGCATTTCACAGTAACCATCACTCTTAGTTTTAGGGCGGCCACCCAGCGCTGAAACTCCCTCATGTGTAAGCGTCCCAGTCGTACGACCAGGATGGCTGACGCCATGAGCCCCAGCAATCGCAGGCATGATCTGAAGAGAACATGTTTGCGCAGCTGGAAAAGAGCGAGACAAGCTCTGAAAGCTTTCACTCTATCCGCTGACAAGCGAGCTGAAAAGGGCACCGAGTTCAGGTGTAAACCCAGGAAGAGTATAGTCTGCGCGGGGCACAACATGCTCTTCTCTGTGTTTATTATGAAACCCAGGTTGAGCAGGTGCTTTACGAGGACATTTGTCTGCGTAACAGCCTCCTGCTCCGACTGTGCGAGAAGCAGCCAGTCGTCCAGGTAGGTCGCCAGGCGAATACCCTGTTGTCTTAACGGGGCTATCGCGGCTTCCGTACATCGTACAAACACCCTTGGACTGAGAGACAGACCGAAGGGGAGTACTCTGTATTCATAACAGATCCCCTGAAATGCAAATCTCAGATATTTCCTGTGTGGGTAATATACTGGGATGTGAAAATACGCATCTTTCTGGTCGACTGATGTGAACCAGTCGTCTTGTCGCACGAGCCGCAGCAGAGATGTGTGAGTGAGCATTCTGAACTTATATCTTCTTAGATATTTGTTCAGAGCCCTCAAATCAAGTATTGGCCGAATTCCGTTCCCTCCCCGTTTGGGAACGAGGAAGTACTTGGAATAGAAGCCGCCCTGACTCTGCTCGGCGGGTACAATAGATATAGCCCTCTTTTCTAGGAGAGAGAGAATCTCTTTCTCCAGAATATGGGCTGACTCTCCTCGGGCCTGCGAATGCAGAATGCCCGAGAAGCGAGGGGGGGTGACAGCGGATTGGAGTCTGTAGCCCCGTGTTACTGTCTTGAAAACCCAAGCAGATGATGTGAGCATCTTCCACTGCATGCTCCTTAGAGCCAGTGGAGATGTCACATCTCTTCCCCTCTGAGTCTCTATTTGTTGTGTTATGGGGCCCTCTAGTGTCTGAACACAGTGGTGCCCCCTTTCGACAATCCCCACCGACACTGCGCATGCGCATGACGGTGGTGCCTTCACAACCCCAGCCGGCACTGCGCATGCGCGTGGCGGTGGTGCCTTCACAGACCCGCCTGTAATGCGCCTTTTGAGAGATGCCGAAGCTGCTCTCAGAAGGGGAACAGTTGACGGGCTGTTTATTGGTTTTATTGTTTTTCTTATCATTTTTTTGAGCTGCGCCCTCGGCCTGAAGCCTGGGCTGGGGACTCGGGGCGGGCTGCGACCTCTGCGTTTTCGGTGTTTTAAACCGAGCAGGGTTCAAGGCAGCTTGGGCGAAGGACTGCTGCTGCGAAGGACTGCTGCTGCGAAGGCAGCGGCTGGACCCTTCGAGGGAGGCAGAGGTGGAGTGCCTCGTCCTCCCTCTTTTTCGACTCACACCTCCTTTGCATGGAAGCAAGAGCGGAGCCGAAAATTCCCTCGGGAACGATGGGCATATCCAGCACATCCTCCTTTTCCCGGTCTGGGAGGTTGGTGAGGTTGAGCCATCTCGCTCTTTCCTGCACCACCATGATCCCCATTGCCTTACCTGTGGCCTGGACGGCGCAGCGTTGGACACGGAGACAGATGTCTGTGACCGCCGCCATCTCGTCCAGAGTGGCTGCCCCCGGGTTACCCGACAGGTCCTCGCAGAGCTCCGCTTGGTAAGCGGTTAGCAGCGAGGCCACATTCAGGGCCCTGGCGGACAACGCTACGGCTTTGTAGGACCGTTCAGTCATTGTCGACTGAAATCGGTCCGACTTTGCCGGCAGCGTGGGGTTCCTGCTTGGTGACGGGCCCATCCTCGGTAGGAGGTGGGCTGCTACTAGCGGTTCCATGGGCGGTATGCGGAGGAGGCCGAGCTTCTCCATTCCGTCACAGTCTAGGGAGGAGGCACCCTGGATTGGGACCTTGTTGCTGAAGGGCTGGTCTCTCCACGAGACCGACTCCTCATCCAACATCTCCGGGAAGACCGGAAGGAGTTGCCTCTTTGTCCGCGCTGCTTGGGGAAAATGTTTCCCTTCGTAGCGGGACCTGGAGGTCTCCTTGGCCATTTCAGGCCACGGGATGTCGAGTCTGGCCGCAGCGCGTTTTGCACACGGCCTGCAGGTCCATACTCAGACAGGGCGAAGCTGGTATGCTATCGTCTGGGAGAGCAGCCCTCGCTCCAGGCTTTGCAGCCTGAGCCGATGACATGAAGATGTCCTCTTCATGTTCATCCGACTCGGACAGGAGGAACACCGAGGCGTCCTCTTCGTCCTCGTCGTAATTCAGCTCGAGGACATCCTCCGCGGGTGAGACCATGGTGAGGTCTAACTGGGAGCCCCAGCTCGGTAAAGCGTGGGGTCCCGTTCCCGCGTGTCTTGCCGCCACCGGGTCCCGGCCTGCCAGGGCGCGGGAATCCGGTTCTGCGGCCATCGCAGATACTGAGCCCCAGACCGACATGGAGAGGGGTTCACTCTCTGTGGCAGATGCCCCCGCGTCTTGACTGCCGGCCGGCAGGTCAGAGGACATGGGGGGTTCCTGCTCCGACAGGCTAGCTTGGCGTGCTAGCCGTCGGCGGAGGCTCTTTACGGTGAAGCGGACACAATGTCCGCACGAGCCGGGGTTGTCGATAGCGCCTCGGGCGTGTTCCAGCCCGAGGCAGGACGAGCAGACCTGGTGTGTGTCTGTGCCCGAGATCTTCAACCCGCAGCCGCAGAGTCGAGCCACCGAGTCCCTGACTCCTCTGGTGTGAGGGAGAGGGGCGTCCATCTTGTTCGCCTCGTGGCGTGGAGAGGACCCGCTCTCAACAGGTAGGTTGGGAGAAAAAGAGGTAACCACCCTGTCCTTAATCCGGAGAAAAGGACGGTGTGGGTCTTTTATTCCCGGAGAATACTGACTGGTGTGGCAGTATGCTCCTTTTAATCATTTCCTCCTCCGTGGGGAAGAGAAAAGAAAAGACTTCCTCGCTACCGTGGTGTCGGTAGTGAGGGAGCAAGCTAACACTAGCTTGAAAAAGTCAGACCTAGCTTACTTTCCGGGGAAAGAGAGCGGCGAGGTCGATTTCAACAATAACTAGCGTTAGTAATTACCGTCTTCCTGCGAAGCAGAAGGAGTAGCCGGCAAGCGCCCGTCGACCGAAATGGATATTTGGGTTCAGTCTGTGGACCGTGAAGCTTGTCCGGCTACCATAGAGATGTGCTCTGAAGCGAGAAGAGGTGTTTGAATGGCGCATGCGTTGTGGCGCAAGCTACTTATAGGGGGTGATTTCCCTGACGCTGACGTCAAGATCTCCAGCCAATCAGGATTGGCGTAATGAGATTGATGCTTCTGTTTGCTCCGCGATGAGGCGCATCCCATAGTGAGACATCGAACGGAGTGTTATGAATGAGAACTCTTAATGATCATAAAGTATGTCAGGATGCCATGATGGATCCTGTAATGCCCCACCATGATCCAGGGGTGGAAGACGGGACGTGGTCAAACGGTAAAACTGGTCGCACCCTGCAGTGAACCCTGATGTTGCCTCTCAGCTCCTATACACATTTAAGAATAACAACAAAGCAACACATCAGATATGCTGTAGGTTTCTATGAACCCAGACTATGACCCATTATCTTCAGACAATAATCTGTCCTCACCACCAGCGTGTTATGGAGCTCTTTCCTCCTCTGCCTCTCCGCCCGGCACCTCTCCCGCTCCTCCTCCAGAGAGCGCTCTAGAGCTGAGACCACAGCTTGTAAGTCTGGTCATGGAGAGCAGAGAGATAAATTAGAGAAAAGAGGTTCAAGCTTATTATTGTGTTAATTTTGATACAACAAACAAATAAGGAAAAGGCAGACACCATCTGTTGTCTGGTTTAAATCTTTGAACTCAGGCCAGGTCTGTAATCCTGGAGCACACATGTTAGTGCTGTTAACCCGGCACTAAACAACTCCATTCACTCAGGACGGGTTGAGACCTTCAGGGATAGCCTGTAACAACAAAATGTTCCTTTTTCTCTTTAAAGATGATTTCAAATGCAAATTATTCAAAATAAATTATCCCCAAAACAGCAATAAAAGGGCTTTTCTTTTATTCTAAATGAAAATGTCTGTACTTAAAGGCCTTCAGAATCTTTTTCGCAAACCTCTAATTTGATTATTTATAGATTTATTTGTTGGCATTTTGAAGTGCCTTGGTGTTATTGCTGCATCCAAATTCATAGTTTCCTAATCATATGAGTCTACAACATGTACATTTTTACTAATAAGATAGTTATTACATAAATACATTTTATTTGCAAGGTTTTTGGAATGATACATATTTGTGTCTAATTTCAGATTGATCCCTTTATAAATCTTGAATTAGAAGTCAAAGAACAATTACAGCCCTACAATATACAAAATAATGATTAGCAAAGTAGCAAATAAATTGCAAAATAAATGTAATGTAAGAGAAATCTCCAAATAGTTGGAGTACTCTTTAATTAGTGCAGGTGAAGTTTGCAGCATTTTGCACAGCATGTTCTCAGGGAGATCAGTTTTCACAAATCTTCAGAGCCATGGTGAGTAGCTGACTTGTGGGACTGAATTAAAGCAAGTGAACCCGGGATAACCTCGCAGGGTGGGGTGAGAGAGGAGGGGAGGGGCAGTGTGAGAGGATTATCAGCAAACAGCCTGATCAAGAAACAGCCAGCACAGAACCTGTAAACCACTTTAGAGTAGTGAGAAACACAGAGAGGAGGAATGAGTTGGCAAAACAAAAAGCGTTATTAAAAGTGAAAGGTAGAAAGTGTCAGACCCGAAGGAAGGCATAAAAATGTTCCTTAATAAAATATTCAACGAATGGTAAATTAACTTCTGACGGTTTGAAACCTCCCCTGTGATTTACATTATGACTTCTACCCACAGTCCCCTCAGCTATAATAGCTTGTTGGTATAAATCCAAAATGGCAGAAACAAGAAAATGCCAACATGGTATACGTGCTACAACACTATACTCTTCTAGGAGGAGAGCATGTGGCTGCAAAATGTACGTATTCTTGCCCTGATGTCTGATGTATTCTTGCCCTGATTTATTTTATTATTTTTTTAAATATAATTCATGCCTATCAATTACGTGTGTATTGACCAAGTAGCAGAACTTAAAATGTCGCCAATATTTATTTATTATCAGACCTTACACATTTGAATCTATCATAGATAGGAGATAGGTTGTTGTGCTCCCTATCTCTGTTTCTTATCCTATATCTAATATAACTGCTTGGGTCTTGATAGATTGAGTGGGGAAGTTCATGAGATCTTTCTAGAGGGTTATCAAGAATAACTTTTATCCAATGACCTTTTCCCTCTCTGTCTGTGTCTGTGTATTCTCTTGTTCCGATTAACCCAGCCAAATCTTTTTTCTTGTTTTGTATCTATATGTACGCCGGGATCCGGAGTCGAGGCTGATCCTCTTGCTGTAGTCCTGTGTCTTGGATCCTCTATCCTGAGTTCTGGATTAAGTCGTGGACTTCGGGTCGTGGCTGAACCTGTCTCTGCGGTCCTGCCTTGGGTCTCGCCATGCTGCTTCCCTGATGGCTTCCACAGGATTTTAGCTGACATCCTCGTGGATTCATCTTCTTATTACAGACACATGCATTTCCTAACATTCGGTCTATATGCTGTAAAATGTATTATCTCTTCGATTTACACACGGCATCTATTGCACGTCTGTCCGTCCTGGGAGAGGGATCCCTCCTCTGTTGCTCTCCCTGAGGTTTCTCCCATGTTTTCCCCTTAAACTGTGGGTTTTTTCTCTTGAAGTTTTTCCTTGTACGATGTGAGGGTCTAAGGATAGAGGGTGTCGTATTCTCATACTGATATTCTGAACAATCTGTGCTGTTGTATTTGCTGTAAAGTGTCTCTACTGTAGGCTATTTTTATTATATGTACAGCACTTTGGCTCGACCAAAAATCGTTTATAAATGTGCTATATAAATAAAACTTGATTTGATTTGATATCATAGGTTAATGTGAAAGTGCCTTGAGAAGCTGCTCTTCTTAAAGCGGCATGCTCACTCCAGCTCACAGCACCCAGGCTCCACCATAACTTTAAAAATAAAATGGCCAAAATGGTGCCGAACAGTAGACCTAGAAGTCAATAAAAAAACAATTTGCTAAGGAAAATGGGGTAAAAGATGCTGCATTTCTGATCAATTGTTATGCTACACACTGAGACACTTACCCTGAGCCTCCTCTCCACGGTCACCCTTTAGAGAACAGCTGGCCTGCTGTACTTTGTCCAGCAGCTGCTTGTTCTGCTCTTCCAGCTCAGTGGAAAAACTCAAATACACTGCGAAAAGTTCACTCAAGTCCTGCTTCACGGCCTGCAACCAACACAGAGAGGAGACATGAAGTGTGAAGGGCTGTGCGGATGTGTGTGTGCGTCCCTGTGTGTGTGTGTGTGTGTGTGTGTGTGTGTGTGTGTGTGTGTGTGTGTGTGTGTGTGTGTGTGTGTGTGTGTGTGTGTGTGTGTGTGTGTGTGTGTGTGTGTGTGTGTGTGTGTGTGTGTGTGTGTTTCTGCTGTTTGTCTTTTGTTTGTGTGTCTTTCTAAGTTCCTAAATGACTTTCCTTTCTTGCCTTTGGACGGTATTTAGTAAAACATTTCAAAAGATCAGATAAAAAAAACTATTAACAAGCTACCATGTGCACAAAGGCATGAATTCTGGTGCATGTGTACCTGGACCTCAGAGAGGAGTTTGGCGAGGGCTGAGCGGGTGATCTTCTGAGCGTTCCTCTGCTGCAGTTGATGCTTCAGGTCCTTGGTCTCCTTTTCATGGTCTCGACGGAGCTTCCCCAGACACTAAAGGATACGACATCAACATACTTCTTCTGCACCACTGTACCATTTTATACTCACTTTATGCCAAGCAACAGCTCAACTGGCAGTTACAGCTAAATTAAATAACCCCCCTTGTATCATGCTTGTTCGAATTTAACAGCATTTTAATACAACACACGTCTTCGAGAAACTTGTTGGTCAACTGTTGTTGATAACTTATTAAGCAACACGTTTACCCTAATAGATGTAAAAGTGGCATACATTGGCAAAATGTTGAGGTTTAGGGAACTATGTGTTTCCCAAAACCCACAGTAAAAGCTCTGGTGCTAAATGATCGCATTCTGTTTCAATTATCAGTGAAAGATGAATAAATAAACAGCATTGGAAGAGAAAATGTTAAATGCTGGAAAACAAAAGATACTCTTCTCAGAGAGCTTATTTTAAACAGTTTTCATTACATTGCACATTTTTAAGTAGTATGTAATTATTTGTAAGGTCTATAAAACCAAATAAAACATGTTAGGCTACTTTAGATAATACTAGTTGCCTGTTTACAACTAGTTTGAGTTAAATGTTCAAATTGAACATGTGAAGGGACAGTCTACCGGGATTATTTTTGGTATCGATATTCTCATTATATAACAGAGAAATACTGTACAATACAAAGTTACACCTGAATTCAATGGCAGTGAGATAAAAGATAAAATACATAATGTATTTCAATCATGCTATTAAAGAAAATACTGTAACAGTGATCTGGGATTCCCTTAGGCCTAAAAGGTGTAAACCTGTAAGTAATGATGGCAGGAATCTTCTTACCTCGGCAAGTCTTAAATGAAGAATAGCATTCTCTGTCTCCAGTTCCAGTATTCGTTCCTCTTTACTCTAAAAACACAAAGACATAACACACACTCGGTTTTGTGCGTACTAAATGGAAAACAATCAATGCATAAACCTCAAATCCATTAACAATCTCTGATTATAAATCCCACATTTGGCATGACACTCTAGCAGTGATTTACCCTCAGTTTGTGCTCCAGCAGGTGTACCTGATGTGCAAATATTTGGTCCCGGTTTATAAAGAGAGGCATTTTTCCTAAATGAAACGGAGCTAGTAGAGAAGAAAATGCATGGCGTCGTTCCTTTTCTCTCTCAGCTGATCAAACCGTGTCCTCTCAGGTCCTTTAATCCGATTAACAACTCTCTCAACTAGCACACACACCTTTCTGCTTCGTAGCGGAGACAGACGACAGTTTTCGGTCGCTGTTCCTATAGCCATTAGTACTTCAAATACTTAAATGTATGCCAGATCATGTATATATATTTAATATACCATGAATAACACTCCACTTTCTACTTGTTTTGCACTTTTGGTAGAATGCTAACTGCATATCGCTGTCATAGTGCAATGACAATCAAGTTGAATCAAATCTAATTTGTTCATGTATAACGTCATAATATGATATTTTTGTGTCTTATAAGAGCGAAATAACGTTAATAACTATCACTTTAGTTTGACTAATTCAAAGGGGATGCTGCTGCTGAAACCCCCCATTGTTTTGTTCTCCAGGGACTTTGTCAGAATAGCGTCAAATAGCATAGTTTAAACTTTAGGTCACTATTAGCACAGGTCAGCGCCATATAGATAGAATAAGATAGATAAGATTCTATCTATATGGCGCTGGCACAGGTGACATGAATTAGCCTGACCGTTATGGCTGTGTTACACAGATAGGGGGCAGCACCGCCTTCAAGGAGGATGTGTCAAGAAGAAGAAGAAGAAGGAAACACTTCCGTACAGTCAGTCTAACAGCCAGGCTCTCTGAAGTAGCTAGATTCAGCCAGAAAATGACTAAAATTAAAGACAAAAGACGCGAGAAAACCAGTGTCGCCACTGAGGTAAGACGGTGAAAGACGCGTTTTTCTCCTCCAGCTCGCTGGATAGGGGGTTAGCATTTTAGCTCGTGTCTGCTTCTGCATCCTCACATCTCTAATATGCACACATTTAATTAATTTAGTCTCTGCATTTGGTCAATGGTGCAAAGTAACTAGGCTAAGTAGATTTACTCAAGTAGTATATGGTACTTTGAGGTAAATTGTGCACTTTTACTCCACTCCATTTAAATACCTTTAGTTACTTTGTAGATTTGGATTAGTAATGTGAAATATAATCAACACTTAAATAGGACTTGAGTTACACCTGAATTAACATTCACAATCTACCCTGCAGTATACAAAAACTGCACCTTTACCAGCTGTGATAACATCACTAATTATATTTAAAACAAGTGTATATCATTTTGAAATGGACCAATCTGCAGAATGAGTCCTTTTACTTTTGTTACTTTAAGTATCTTTTGATGCTAATGCTTTTGTACTGTTACTTGAGTAACATTTTGATTGCAGGACTTTTACTTGTAACAGAGCATTACTACACTCTGGTTCTTCTACGCTTACAACCCTGGGTACAAGAGTACTTCTTACGCCGGCCTCTGTTCATGGTTAAGTATTTTCAATCCAACCAATCTTAACTAAACTCACTATTATCTCTGACCTGTAAATATTCTAGATAGACCGTTTGGAGGAGCGGCGGACGCGATGCAAAGACAACCTGGACAGGGTTGAGTTCAGGAGCAGAAAGGAGAAGCTCTCTGAGAAGGACAGGTGAGGATGATGATGGTCAACGTACTTTCAGAGATGAAACCTAACTTGAATTGATACAGTTGTTCCCTATAAGGCTTGTCCATGAAGTGAAAACCCTCCTTATGGTGCTGTTTCTCTCTCTCTCACCCTCACTGCTCCATAGGCAGGACCTGGAAGATGAAATGACCATCATTAATGAGAGGGTGCTAAAGTTAGGTAAGGAAACACTCCTACAAAATGTGCCATTGAAATGTAATAAGCAGTGTCACAAATGTGTTTACATATCTAACTTCACTTTATGTGGACTTGACATTTGAATACTTTTAGAGATATCTCAATTACAATCAAACAAACTATGAATGATTATGGACAAAACACAGCTTTGGATTATGTGAACCAGTCTTCTTTTGGTCAGTTGCTTCATAGTTGGTCATTCCTAAATATATATAAAAACACAAACATCTGAGATAAACAGTCATTGTTGTGATCCGATTGACTCGTTAATAAGCACATGAAAGTTGTATCTGTGTTATGATTGCAACCGTGTTTAATGTTATTACGGTGCATTCATATAAATAAGCAGTGTTTGCTGCTTCATGATGTTTCAGTTTTGGTGAAAATGTATGGCTGCCACACATTAGTTGATTCACATTAGTTTTTTTATTTCCAGACAAGGAGCTGCAGACGTTAAGAGGAGAGAATCGGAGGAACATGCTGATGTCAGTCTCTCTGCTGGTCATCAGTGCTCTCTTCTACTTTGTGTTTTTCTACAATGAAGAGGACTCATGATACTAAATGCTGTCATAAAGGGACTTTTTGCTCTTAAAAACCTCGGGACAGTGTTGTGATGAGGTCATGATTGTGTACACACTTTCTGTGTTGAGGAAACTCCTCTGTTCTGCCTCTAGATGGCAGCATTGTCTTGAGCTTTTCTGGTCGTCATACTTTAGTCATCCTGAGCAGTCAGTGAGCGATCAGTTTTGTATTTTCCTCAGCATGTACACTTGTAATTTTTTATCTATATACAACATTCTGTCACATAACTAACTAATGCCACAAATAAACACCAAAGTAATAATGCTTTTATACAATATGTCAAAGAGATGCTTCACAAAATTGTGCCGATTTAAGTCTGATGTAGCTTTTCAGTCACATGTAAACACGTGTGTGATAACGGAGGTTGCATGTCACGTGTGCCGTTAATGATAGAAATATTTGATACAGAATGTTTTCTCGTAACATTGAATAAAACCTAAAGAATGCCATTTTTAGTTGTAATACTCATGCTGGCCATGCTGACCTTTCACTTATAATGCAAAACACGTGCACAAATCTCTCTTTCGTTTAAAAAAAAAAAAAAACGTATGAGAAGAATTGGGTTTGGTCTTATAACTGATTTGTTTATATGTTAGTTGGTATTATATATTTTTTTCATTTATAAATTAAACTTTACAATTTTTGGAAGCTTATTTATCGTGTTGTGTGTTTGTATTTTCTTGGTTGCTATGTGCACTGCAGTGGATTAGTATTAAAACACATTTATATGAAATGATTTTGCATGTAGAGTTTATTCCATAACGGCTAGCTTTAAAAGAGGTCCATTGTCACAGTGGGATTGTTTTGAAATGAGATGTATCTTTTCTTCCATCGAACTAGAACACAAATAGTATAATGGAAGACTGAAGGACATCACCACTCAGTGGGGGAGATGTGTTCTGATCACAAAGTGTATTGTTTGACACCCGACGAAGAGGAGGCGTTATTCCTCACCCAGTGACACAGCCATGGAGTGAATAGTGCTGAGGGGCTGTCTGAGGACAAGAACATCTAAAAGCCTTCTCTCTGTTTTGAGTATAAATAATTGAATAATGATCCGAATTATATGAAATTATTCTTGTAAAGACATCATTAGCAAGACCCAAATAGAATTAGGGTGACATGATGACTATGGTTAATGACTAACTATTTTATTTTCTTGACTCTCCTGTCACTTAACCCTTCACCTCGACTGTAAAACATAAGTATATTGTCAAGTTTTGAAATGTACTTAAAATCGTACTATAAGGTTGCAGTGATATGCCTTTTCTACATATTCCATACATCTTTCAGTTTTGGCCCAGTGTACCAATTCTCGGCTAAGTTTCCTATTTAAAAGGTTAAGAAAGATAGAGTTAGAGAAAAAAACACTAATTCAAAATTATGTTAGACTCTCTGCTTTGGATGCAATGGATAGATCTTTGGTTTGGGTGGGAAACCAGTCAAATGTATGACAGCACAGCCCAGCAAATAATGCTTGTTTGCCCTCCCTCCTACACATTCTATTATCACCTCCACAGTCCACAGCACACCCACACACTCTCAATCTCTCCTCCCCAGATTAAACAAATGTAAACAAGCCCATGATGCAACCTTACTGTGGGATTTAAAAGATGATTATGGCTACAGAATATGTTAACAGTTAAATGTTCACATTGTTGTTAATATTATAGTTCATTAAAACCATTTCAAATGTATCATAGTCACATATCAGTCTGTATATTTTTGGTGAATTACATAGCTTTTTTGTGCTTTTGTTAACTCTAACTGTAATACATTTCACTGATATTTCTCAAAGAACAATTGATAAATGAAAAACCTAAACAAAGCAAAACACTGTAGCCTTTCTGTGAATTGGTTAATTGGCAGTGTTGAGCAGTCAGATGCTGAACTTGTAGTTTTCTTAAAATGACACAGTGTGTTAAGTGTGCTCAAGCTATATAAGAACACGACTTAAACATATATATATTGTAGGATAGGTCTGTCTGAGCACCAAAATGCCATATGTCACTTTTAATTATTTTGGTTTAGAGGCAGGGGGCTGTTTGAGCTCACCTGCTGCAGCGGGGGGGTTCAGTGTCTGCACTCGGGTCAGCCGTCATTTTGTACGTTTTATTTTCTCTTCGGGTAAAGAAGCTTTCTTGCTGCCCTTTTTTTTTATGCCAGTAATTTATCAAAAAAGTTTCATATGTTTAAATATTTGCTCATATTTCAATTTTCAAAATCTCTGCAAAATGATGGAATTAATTCATATGTTGTAGATGATGCTCAGTGGCCTCTAGCATGGAATCGGGTTTGTGCCATTAAGATCAGGCTCTGTGAAGCAAAACAAATTCAAATTCTTATTTTATCGTATTTTATTACGTTACATTTCTGCGTTAACTATTTCAGAGGAATAAGTAAGGTAAGTATAGGTAAGCAGCTGTTTATCCTTTTAGTTTGTTGTAGTGTCATGAGTATAACATTTTAATAACCACTAACTATGGCTGTCAGATCAATTTATTGGATTCAAAATGCAACGTTTGTCATTGAAATGTAGTGGAGATGAAGCATAAAGTACTCAGCTAAAGAAACCTTAAACTTGTGCTTCAGTTCCATATTTGAGTAAATACACTTCAAATGAAATTAAATGTAATCTCTCCACCTCTTCAGAGGGGTTATCTACTTGTACTTCGCCACCCAATGTGAATATTTATGAAATCATTTGTGGTGCCTGTGTTGATTTGTTGCTTTTTGAAACTGTGTTTTGTCCATTCTAGTTCCTACTGTGATTGGAATTTACTTTAGTGACTATAATTCACAGTATATAACTTTTACACACTGAGTCTTACATACAGCATGTCAACTCATACTTGAATAACACGTCATTTTGTCCTAGCTGACCTATATTTTTAGATTGAAATGCGCACATGCTGTGGTGCTCAGGCAACATTTGTCTTGTTGCATTTTTTACATTAACCCAGATGACATAAAAAGGGACTTGTAAATTAATTTTAAGCTAATTTCATCGTAATTGGCAGCATTAAGAGCAGCTAATCGGGTCATCATGCTCAGGTAATAATGCAAGTCATCGTCTTGAGTCCTAAGGCTTCGTCATGGCTGAATTTGTTTCCTCTCCTAATTTCTACATCATCCTAGTGAAGAAATAAATTGGGAGAAGAGTCAAGAGGGGGATGATGGGAGGGCAGATGTCATGGGGGAAGGTCATTGGTCACAGAAGTGCTTCCTAAGATATGAGCTGTCAGGATACTCTGGTCTCTATCTTTCTGATGGAGGTGGGAAGGTCATTTTACATGAGAATAAGAGCAGTACCAAACAAGGGAAGCTAATGATAAGTAATGAGGATGATGAAGGGGTGAGTAATGTAGAGCCTGTGGAGAGTTTACAAAACAGACATGTTTAACTTGAGCCAGTTTATCTAATTTCTTATTATCTTCCAGGTCAAATTGACCTGTTTCACACAGGAAGGTATTAGGGACATTTATTCCCCCCTTGCCAGAGCGGTTGCAATGCACTTGACATAAATAATAATAAGCAAGGGCCCCTGGCTTGCCAACAAAATAATAATTATTATTATTATTTCTGGTCACTTTGACATGGTTGCAGAAATTGAGGCTGAAGAAGAGTTAAATTGTGAACAATTAAGCCAGAATGTGTTGTATCTTTGAGTGGCTTACTGTGATTTTCTTTTCTCACAGGGACATTCACAGAGACTTTCACAGAACACCATGGACTCCTCAAAGCTCTTGTTGTGCAGCAGGAGATTACCTTTCATCCCCTCCGACTTACCCCTTAAAGTGCGAGAAACGTTATAATACTCACCTTCATTCTGCAAGGGCGGAGCAGAAGGACCTGGAGTTGTAGAACGTAACCGCCTGTTGACCACGTCAGAGCACTAGAAGAAAGAAAATGTGACTGAAGCTCTCTAACAAAGACAATCAAACTTATTCATACCATGTCTTGCATAATTCAATTTCAATAATTACTCATTGTTTGTGAATTGAATAGTTAGATTTAGTGAAATTAGATGGCAGCTAATATATTATTCAGTGTTGCTGCTATATAAATGAACATTATCATTTTGAGGACATGTACTCTAGCCCAGTAGCTTAAATATTGATTTTAGTTTTATGCATTGGGTGTTATACTGTACATTCTGTCAGTTTGTTTCTCATACATGTACAATGTATATAAGATGTTGAACTATGTTCCATGAACATGACACAACTAAGTACATTTTAAGAGAGGTTATCAACAAATCCGTAGGAAACTGCACAGAAAACTCCTCCCTGGAAATGTGTTTCTTCAAGATCATTTTGTCAGCTTGTTTTATATTAAATATATTATCTCCATAAAGAGAGGGCACCCTGCCCTGTTCACATAACTTCAAAGTACAAATTATTAGTTTGAGAACAAAGTTAAATTAACCCTGAAAGTGTGTGGCTGTCCACAACACTCATTAGGCTCCTTGAACAACACACACACACACACACACACACACACACACACACACACACACACACACACACACACACACACACACACACACAATGCTACCCAGTGTTTTTCTGAGAAAGTAGAGGAACATATTACGCTGCACTCTTGATCTCAACACACACACACACACACACACACACACACACACACACACACACACACACACACACACACACACACACACACACACACACACACACACACACACACACACACACACACATCAGGCAGGCAGACAGACACACACACTTCAGGCAGACACACACATGCACGCACACACCAGAGTTCCCGTTAGAATATTTGTTCACCGGTCAACATGTCCGTTAAAGTTGAAATCTTCCGGACAAAATGAGAAAAGTGCCGGTCAAAGGTCTTCTTTGTTATTTATTGTGCTTTAAAACAAATTGATATGATTCGAAATTAAATAAACTAATTATAGTAGATTAACTATTCAAAAGTGAACAGTAATTTACAATAACACGGGAATAATAAACGGAGCGCTCTCCCTCTCCTGACAGCCCGTCAGTATCATGCAGCTCGCGGATCAGTAATGAGTGACCCGACAGTAAAACTAAACATATATATAACTAGTTACGGTAGTTTGAGAGGTAATTAAAATAGCTACGTGTGATATTCTAATCTGGTGTGTGTTTTGTTCCGCTCATCGCTGCAGGTGATCATGCAGAGCTGCGTGTCGACTCGTCAGCAGCTGATCTCTCTCTCCCGTCAGATTAGACTTCACTCGCGTTTATGTCCATATCGATTAGATCTAGCTAGTTCTAGCTAATGATAGGACTACCTGCTTATTAAAAGACACCTAAACAATAAGCGTCGCAATGCAACCGGGCGAGGCCGCAAAGTAGAGCGTAGCATTATGCATTTGTTTACATGCCCACCGGAACCCCAAGGCATTACCAACAGATCAACGCACAATCAACCCACACAGGACATCTCTTTCTCCACAGTAAGCGTTAGACCTTTATATATACAGTCTATGCGTTAGACACGACATTATAATTGACTATTCTTGTCTGTCACATACTCTTTTGTCTGTCACATAAATGGCGCAAGTTGTGCAACTGATGTGGTATTGCGCTAAACGGAAATTATTTTGAACGGACACTTTGACCGGAGAGATTTAGATTTGCCGGTCTTCAGCATATTTTACCGGTCGTAGTCCGGTAATTACCGGCTAACGGGAACTCTGGCACACACACACACACCAGGTAGACACACACACACACACACACACGGCAGACATTACACAATTGAGCCAACATAAAGGGAGCTCTCTCTCACAACCCTGGGGGGGGGGGGGGTAATCATAGCTGCTGAGCACACTTGACTACACAGCACATGTGTTCTCTCTCTCTCTCTCTCTCTCTCTCCTCCTCTCCTCCTCTCTCTCTCTCTCTCCTTCTCTCCGTCTCTCTCTCTCTTCTCTCTCCTCTCTCTCTCTCTCTCTCTCTCTCTCTCTCTGACACACACAAACCCACACACTGGTGTTTGAACAGGCCACATGCAGTGACGAAAGCAAATGACGATAGCTTTTTATGGCAAAGCTGATTTTACGTTTCTGATGTGGGCTTGTCTCTTCTTTTCCAACAGATAAAGTGTGTGTTTGTCTCTCAGCTTGTGTGTTTGTGTGTGTTAATAATGGTTAACCCCATTATCACCATGGGGTATCCAAGGTTTTCCCTGTACACCGCTGTTCTCTCAATAAGGAGTAAGATCAGAACTGATTCTTGTCCATTATCTGAATCTGGAACATTCCCGTGTCACCACTTTCGTATGATTATAAAAGGACAACCCGCGAGGAAAGAAATCAGCATTGTGGGTGATGAAGTAATTAATAACACCATCAATCAATCAATCAATCAATGTTTATTTATATAGCCCAATATCACAAATGTTACATTTGTCTCAGTGGACTTTACAATTTGTACAAAAATATCAGTATGACAATACGACACCCTCTGTCCTTAGACCCTCACATCGTACAAGGAAAAACTTCCGAAGAAAACCCACAGTTTTAAAGGGGAAAATGGGAGAAACCTCAGGGAGAGCAACAGAGGAGGGATCCCTCTCCCAGGACGGACAGGCGTGCAATAGATGCCGTGTGTAAATTGAAAAGATAATACATTTGCAACATAGGTAGTCCAAATGTTTGGAAATGCTTGTGTGTATAATAGGAAGATGAATCCACGAGGATATCCATCCAGGACCTATGATCCAGGACCACAGCCACGACTCAAGATCCAGGGCTCGCGATCCAGGACACAGGACCGCAGGATCATCCATGACTCCGGATCCCAGCGTATATAGACACCAAAAAGAAAGACATTTGGGGAATCTGGGTTAATCGGAACATGAGAGTACACAGGTATAGACAGAGAGAAGGAAGAAGTAAGATGTCCCCCGACAAACTAAGCCTATATCAGCAAAACTAGGGGCTGAATCTAATCAGCCCTAACTATAAGCTTTATCAAAAAGGAAGGTCTTAAGCGCACTCTTAAAAACGGATAGGGTGTCTGCCGCCCGAACACAAACTGGAAGCTGATTCCACAAATGTGGAGTTTGATAAGAAAAGGCTCTGGCTCCCATTGTACTTTTAGAGACTCTAGGAACAACCAACAACCCTGCATTCTTGGAACGCAATGCCCTAGTAGGACAGTAGGGTATAATGAGTTCTTTAAGGTAAGATGGCGCCTGCCCATTAAGGGCTTTGTAGGCGAGAAGAAGAATTTTAAATTATATCCTGTGTTCTATAGGGAGCCAGTGTAAGGCAGCCAGAACAGGAGTAATGTGGTCCCTTTTCCTAACTCTGGTTAGTACACGAGCTGCAGCATTTTGAATCAGCTGAAGCGACTTGACTGACTTCTTGGTACACCCTGATAATAAAGAGTTACAATAATCCAGCCTTGAAGTAACAAATGCATGGACTAGTTTCTCTGCATCGTTTTGAGGCAAGATATGCCTGATTTTTGCAATGTTACGTAGATGGAAGTAGGCGGTCCTTGAAATTGATTTTATGTGGGCGTTAAAGGATAAATCCCGATCAAATATAACACCAAGATTCCTTACAGTCTCACTGGAGGCCAAATGAATGCCATCCATAGTTAGTATATCTTTAGATAATTTGTTTCGTAGATTCCTCGGGCCAAGTACAATAACTTCAGTTTTGGTCGTGTTTAACATCAAAAAGTTTAAGGTCATCCACGTTTTTAAGTCCTTGAGGCAGTCTTGAATTTTATTTAGATGATTAATTTCATCAGGCTTGATTGATAAATATAGTTGAGTATCATCCGCATAACAATGAAAGTTTACAGAATGATTCCTTATAATATTGCCTAACAGAAGCATATATAATGTGAACAAAATAGGTCCGAGCACTGAACCCTGTGGCACTCCATGGCTCATTTTGGTTTGCGTGGAAGATTCATCATTGACACGTACAAACTGAGAGCGTTCAGATAGATAGGACCTAAACCAGCCTAAAGCAGTTCCCTGTATGCCAACTAAGTGCTCTAGTCTTTGCAATAAGATATCATGGTCGATAGTATCAAATGCAGCACTGAGATCGAGCAAAACAAGAATAGAGACACGTCCCTTGTCAGAGGCTATTAGAATGTCATTTGTGACTTTAACCAGAGCTGTCTCTGTGCTATGATGTGTTCTAAAGCCAGACTGAAAATCTTCAAATAAATCATTGTTTTTTTAAGTAATCACACAGCTGTTTTGCGACTGCTTTCTCAAGAATTTTTGAGAGGAACGGAAGATTAGAAATAGGTCTATAATTGGCTAAAACCTTTGGATCGAGGTTGTGCTTTTTAAGAAGCGGTTTTATCACTGCTACTTTGAATGATTGTGGAACATAGCCTGATAATAAAGACATATTCATAATATTTAATAAAGAAGTGCTAATTAATGGAAACACTTCCTTCAACAGCTTAGTTGGAATTGGGTCTAACATACACGTTGATGGTTTAGAAGAGAGAATCATTGAATTTAATTGTTCAAGGTTTACTATCTAGTGTAATATTAGAACTCACGCTTCCGGGAGCTGTTGATAACACTATACTGGTCAAAGGCAAGAGGTCATTAATTTTGTTTCTAAGAGTAACAATTTTATCGTTAAAAAAGCACATAAAATCATTACTACTGAGTGCTATGGGAATAGAAGGCTCAATCGAGCTGTGGCTTTCTGTCAGCCTGGCTACAGTGCTGAAAAGAAATCTTGCATTATTCTTATTCTCATCTATTAATGAAGAGTAGTAAGCTGCTCTCGCTTTACGCAGTGCTTTCTTATATTCATTGAGAGTAATATGCCAAATTAAACGAGATTCTTCAAGTTTAGTGGAACGCCATATCCTTTCAAGTTGTCTCGACTTTTGCTTTATTTTGCGGGTTTCGGCATTATGCCATGGAGCTAATCTATGTTGTTTTATTTTCTTCTTTTCAAAGGAGCAACAGAGTCTAATTTTATT